TTGCAGAGGAACATTCCATGCGTCCAGTTAGTTCTTTGTCCCGGCAGAGACATCCAGAGTTCCTGAAATTGGACCTGGGTTGGAACAATGTCAAGAAGAAGGGAGACCTATTCTAAATGACAAATCTATTTCAAGAGTAAGAATATTTCACTATGTAAATTTTCCACTTCTGGGGAACAGCCTAATCGTGCCTGGTAGACTCCAAGCACGAACATGTTTCCCCGTGCAAAACTGCGCCCTAAAAATAGAAACGTAGTTTAGCAAATTTTCCGGGGCGGGAGGATTTCCGTCCCCCGAATGCCGGATCCCACGGACCTGGTTCCCGGCTCAGAGGACTCGGGCACATCAGGAAGCTGCCTGGGGTGCAAGAGACAGGCAGCTCCGAAATTCAACAGACGGGACCTCAGACTCCAGCCTCACCGATTGCAAGTCTTGTGATTTGGAGCAAGACACTGACCCCTCTCTGTGCCCCACGGGATGACTGATGTGCCTGTGCCCAGCTCGGGGTTACACGAGATGGTCCTGGCACAGCACGCAGTGCACCGGATCCGGGGAGGACAGCTCGCACCCGCCACCTCTGAGTCTACCCTTGCTCTCTGGGTGGTTTTTGGCAAACCTTTCTTCACCTCTCCAGCTCTGTGCACCCCCGCACCATGCCCACCTTGCACACACACTCCTGGAAGGCACGAGAAGTGCCGGCTGGTAAATGGCAGTCTCATTCTGAGCAGCACCTCGCCTCCCTGGAGAGTGGGTTGGGTCCCACTCGCTGCCCGTTAGGGTGCTGGATGTTGTTTTCCTTGCATCTGCTAACACCAGTCCACAGATAATTTCCCAAATGCTGTTAATAGCCCCTAAGGGTTTGTGCATTACCCTCCCCACCCCAACCCCCCAAAAAGCAGTTAAATTCCAATAACTGTCAGGAACGGAGCCAATTGCCATAAAGTACTTCCAGCTTCTTGGCATGAAAAGCTAATTAGAATATGTGTGTTGGTTTCTAAGCAATGTTCATTGGTTCATTTGAAAACCCTACCCGTGCTGTACAACAGTGAAGTCATTGCCAGAGCACCCCCTTAAATCGACCCCACCCCAGCTTGGCTGGCCCCTCACTCCGCCGGGCTCCATGGGCCTTTGCGTCCTGCCATGAGCCGCTGCTCAGACACCTCGAAGCTCTTTCCCTTGTGGGTCTGACTTCCTCCGGCCACGCTGCAGACCAGCACCTGAGACCCTCGGCCCTGCAAGCAGGACGCTCCTGGGAACTCCGGAACATTGCTGGTTACTGAGTACTCACAGCACACGTGTTGACCGCGTACTAATCGTATCATTCCAAAAATTTTCAATCATAGACAATCCCTGGTTTAAGATAAGACCTTATCTGTCCTGATTTTAATAGGAGAACAGAGACCTATGCTTTTTAGTGTTATACTTCCGAAGCCCAGGACTGTGATGGAATGGAGTAAGTCATCATGCCCGGCGACTGCTGAATAAGTGACTGAAGGATGCCTGCTTAGGCTAGACGCGTGTGGACTGTGGGTGTCTGGCTGCACTCTCTCCCTCAGTGGCTTGCAGTGCTTCTGAAGCTGTCCATAGTGACATCCCAGTTTATTGTTTTCTTTAAAGTTTCAATCCATTCCAGACTTACACCTTTTCCATTTACAATAGAAACAAGACAGTAAAAGAACACATAAAACACGAAGCCATCACCCCAGTGTCAGGTTAAGCAGGCACCGAATCGCCTGTCAGACTGGAGGAGCCCAACCAGTTCAGGCTCAGCTGCATCCCTGGTGGTCTGTGGCGTGGGCCACACTCAGGCCGTCACGGCTGGGGAGACACTGGCCGCCGCCTCCAGCCCGTCTCCGTGCCCTGGCTGAGGCCTCGTCCGCCAGGTGGGAACAGCTGGAATTTTCCCCACTCTGTCTCTCCAACCTTCCTCTTACTGCCAAATCAAGCAATGCATATTAACAGACGAGGCTTTGGGGTATAGATGTTTGAGGATGGCTCTCAGCTATTTCCATGAACATGAGCGGAAACCTAACCATTTAGCAAACAGACCCTGACGTCCCTGACTGAACTGCCCGATCTACTTCCTGCTGCTGTCTGGAGGTTTGCAGGGTGCCAAGAAACCATTTTCCAGAGAACATTCACAGTCAAACTTGAACGGCTTCTCTGTCTAGTCCCTGATCTTCCAGGATGCCGAGTGCTCTTGACTTTGTACTTGGAAGGTGCTGGACACCCATGAGCCCCGGGGTGTGGGTCAGCCTCACGGCCCTGGGCATCAGGACCTGGGCCCTCCCCAGCGTGAGAGGGTGTCCTGTTCCTGGCAGAGGTCCAGGAGGCCAGAAGGCAGGGCCTGGCCACAGACGCTCTCCAGCCCCCGCTGGCCTGCGTGGCCCCAGCTGTCCTGAGCTCCCCGTCCCGGCGTCCCAGTCGGGGGCTGCAGGATTCACAGAAGACTGAGGGAGGGGTCTGCCGGACGCCCTCCCTTGGGGCTTCTTCGAGGGCTTCTTCACCTCGGTGCAGCCTGGCTGCTCCTCCGGGGAAAGTGTCCAAAATCTTCCAGCTTCACCTTCCTCTGTGCCCTGCCGCAAGACCCCGTTGTGGTCAGAACTCCTTGCACTCAGTTATAACAAGCCTTTCTGAACCTCCCGGTCCTCCTAGCTTCCTGCGCCCTGCCTGCCCTGAGGCCAGCTCTGCCTCCAGCCTCCATCTGCGCCTGGGAAGGGAACAGCGGCCGGGCCGGGCTGGATGTCACACGCAGCCCGGGCTCAGTGCCTGGCCTACGGGGCCTGGGGACAGAGCTGCTCTCCTCTGTCAGTCTGTAGCTGCATGTCGCCGTCACACACTTGCAGAAAATGACAGGAAGAGGACACACCAGACCGTCAGAGTGACCCCTGCCTGAGCGTTCTGTTCTCTGTGCCTTTCCCGTGTTGCCCCTTGAACTTGCACCGCCTTGCTCTTAGACATGGAAAGGAAAAATGATCTCGGAGATGTTCTGAAGGGTCTGTTTGGATCACGCCTGGCACTGCAGACCCAGCTGCTCTGGAGGGTCTGCACCCCCTTCCCAAGCCAGCAGGGGGTCTTCGCTCAAAGTGCTTCCCCCTGCCCTTTCTGGAATCTTCTCTTGTTGCCCGGCCTCTCCACGGGTCTGTGCCTGGTGCAGGCGAGTGTCCTGGAGGGGCTCCTTCTGCAGGGGCGTAACTGGCCCCTGCTCTCCGGAGATGACCTGTCTGGATGGCAGGGGGACGGCAGGAGACGGGGCCAATTCCCCAATCCACCCCTCCACGCCCTGGAGGACAGTGAGGTGCCCAAGTCACAAAGGCCTAGCGGGAGTCAGGCTGCCGGGCTTGGCTGTGGCTGTGTCCTCCTCTGCACCAAGTCCTCAGCCCCCCAAGGCAGTGGGCACAGCTGGAGGACCAGCTCCTCCGGCCCCTGCGAGCCTTGGACTGGCTGAGGTCCGTCCACTGAGGCACCTACAGGGCAGAGGTCCTGGGAATGGGCAGGGCAGGGCCACCTCCACGTCTGAGACATCACCTCCCGTCCCAGGGCCACATCTGGGCACAGAACCAGCAGGGGACATTAGGTGACCTTCGAACTAAGGCCCACTTGGAGAAGCTGAAAGTGCCCGGGCAGGTGGGCGTCTCCGAAAACCATTTCGATCTCTCAGTGGCAGCCTGTCCCAGGCAGCCACTCCATCGGGTGTCCCGTGCGTGGTCTGTTCCTGTGGAGAAAGAAGTTATTTTTAATCTACGGGGGAGTGCGTGAGTCCCCGACGGCTGCTGGGACAAGGCAACCTGAAATTCAGGGCTCGAAACAGCACGGGTTTATCATCTCGCAGTTCTGCAGTCAGATTCTGCCTAGGTCTCACGGGGGCAGAGATCTGTGTCCACAGAGCCCTCCTGGGGGCCAGGGGACAATGCTCCCTGCTGGTCCAGCTTCCCACGGCTGCCGAGTGACTTGACTGTGGCCTCTCGTCCTTCAAAGCCCCTGCAGCCGCCGCTCAGCCTCTTCCGACCCCTGCCTCTGCCTGAGAGTCTGGGAGTTAACGTCTGGATTTCGACGTCTATGTTCTTAGCCCTCATCTGTGTTTCTGAGAAGCCACGTGAAATGGAGTTCCAGGAGCTAGCACAGCCTTTGTGCTCTGCTCCGACATAGGAACCTGGGCGCCTCCTCCCCGGGGCAGGCAGCCGCCAGGACGTGGTGTTCGGGAGTTCCCAGGTCCCATCAAGCAGCGTGCCCGTGGCCCGTGGTCCCACGGAGTGAGGTGCAGAATCCGTAACCAGAGAAAGCTGATACTCCAGGAATTCAACCGGAAAGTCTATTGTGAAACCCCGAACATGTGGAAAACCAAGCCCACGTTTGCCATTACTATAAATCTGGGTGGCATATGTTGTATTTGCTTAAAATACGGTCTGTTAAAACGTCTCCTGCCCCCAGGAATTGTTCTCTCTCTCTCCTGGCTGAGTGTGACTCCAAACCCCTCAGGCTGGGACTGCACCGTCATGCCTGGCTTAAAGGTAGTTGTGAGGGTGCCCAAATGTGGGCTGCTTGGCCCAGCTACGCCTGCTAGTCTGTGCGAAAATCCCACGTGGTGACTTGAAGAAGAGATTGCTTCCTTCTGGTTGGAAAAGCTACACTAGAGAGCGCGGAGCAGGAACCCCTGTAGTCACAGCAAAAAAGACACCGAGCCGTTGATTCCTGACAGTGGAAGAGAATGATGCGTCTGTTCTGTAACCAAATAGGCGAGGGTTTTCAGCCTCAGCACCGTTGGCGTTCTGGCCGTCCACACACGGCGGGGTGTGGCAGCTAACGCCAGGGTCCCCCACCTGCCCACCCTCCCTGTGTTGGCATCCCAAAGTGTCCCCAGACATTGCCAAATGCCCCCACCCCGATTGGGACCCACTGAACTCGAAGGAGAACAGAAATCCCTTGTGTTGACACCAAAAAACAAAGCAATTGTTTTTTAACAAGCAGAAGAAAATAAAAATAAACCCTCTGCTACTCACCCAACAAGAGCGACACACCGTGTTTTCTCTGCTCACATCCCTTCCTGGGCGCCCGCCAGGTGCCTGCCGCCTCCAGGGGTCAGACTGAGAATCCTGCTGCTGGCTGGGAAGGCTCCTTCCTGGCTGCTCCTGAGACCCTCCCCCCTTGCTCTCCTCCCCCCACGTGGAAGCAAATGTGTACCCAGGCTCCTGGGCGGCAGGACAGGCCAGTGAGGCCAAGGCACCTCCGCAGTATCTCAGACCGGCCTCCACGCCCAGCCCTGCCCAGGGTTCAGCCGCTGCCCTGCCTGCCTGGCATCGTCCCAGACCCTGCACAGACGTCCCCTCATCCTCACAAGAGGCGACCCCGCCACGCTCAGCCGTCCTGCACGGGGCACCCCATTCGAAGCAGGACTTATGGAAAGGACCTGGGGCCACTTTCCAGCCGCAGGCCTGCATTTCATCGTTGCCGGCAGTTTATGACAGGCGCCGAGTTGAAAGCTCCTAGACTGTGGAGTCGCTAGTTTCTGTGGGCAGTTTTTGTTTGGTTTCTGCCTCCAGCCCTCTTGTTTGTTTGCTCTGTGCCCTGGCTGGGCTCCAGGCAGCACATTTATACCACCCGGCTGGGCCCAGAGCCCTCCGGCAAGGGGCTGAATCTTAACTCCTCTTTCTCTGCACCTCCAACACCGTCACCCACTTCTGGTAAGTTCTGGGAGTGGGAGTGGGCTGACCCCAGCCCCCCCACCGTGCATTCAAGACCCCCAGCGCACCTGACAGCCAGTGCCGGGCCCAGGGGCGGGGGGAGCAGCTGGTACCCTGCTGGCCAGTGGCCTGTGCCAAGGCTCCCAAATCGGCTGAGTCAGAGCATTCCCGTCTCCAAAATGGGAATGTAATAGCATCATCACTTCAATGCAAAATGCACTGAGCTTGGAGAAGGGACTAAACTGCAGCCACAGTGCCCAGGTGGAGTCACGTGGTGCAGGTGAGGTGGGGGCTATGACCTCACCTTGCAGGTGAGGAAACTGAAGTCAACCACTGTCACATCCTGCGCTGGCTCTGTCTCCTCCCAACCAGGAGCCCAGGACTGGCCCGTTCTTACCGGAAGTGACCTGTAGCCCCGACCCGGCCCCCAGGCAAGGGTGGTGCTGGGGAAGCCCCAGAAGGAGCACGATGGCGTCTCAGGCACTAAGGTACTCCATGTGCACAGAGACACATGTGCACACTCACCCGCAGCAGCTGTCAGATGCCCAGAATTGACTCACCTGCTCATCAAGGGTTAATTCTTTCCGAAGCTCTTTGGAAAAAGCCACAGGAGCAGAAAGCCAGGCCAAAGCCGGGCAGGGAGGGCAGGCGGCCGTGCCAGCTGAGCCTCTTTCCACTTGAATAAACACCGCCCAGCAGGCCTTGCAGGAGAGCTGCAGCTCGTGCAGAGAGGAGTATGTGTGTATGCATATGTGCACATGTATGTGTGTGTGCACGTGCACATATATGCATGTGTTCGTGTGCATACATATGTGTGTGCATGCATGCATGTTGGTGTGCGTGCACATATGTGTGCGTGTGTGTCCATGTGCGTGAGCATGTGTGCATTCAAGTGCATATGCATGTGTGTTGATGCACACACATAGGTGCACATGTGCCTGCACATATGTGTGCATTGTGTGTGTGTCCATGAGCATATGTGTGTGTGTGTGTGCGCATGTGTGTCGGGGGGCAGAGCAGGAAAGGGGAAGTGGTTTCTGAAACAGCAAGAACTGTGCCATGTCCACAGTTACCTGAGAATATTCGGCAAAGTGCCGGGAATACTACAGCATCATTTACCCCGTTTTCTTAATGACACACACTTCATATTCTAAAGAAAATATGCGGGACGGCTACAGTCTCTCCGCACGTCGCTTGTCTCACTAAAACTGAGGTTTCTGTGCCTCATGCTCTGTGCCGACAGCAAGGCTCCCTCTACTTGCTGACCCGGTCGTGGAAGGCGTCCGGCTCCGCGAAGCCCTTCCGCACTGATGGGAGTTGAAAGCTGCCCAGGCCGTGGGGTGGCTGGGCTCCCCTCAGTCCACCTGGCAGGTGGGGACCTGTCCCTACAAACTGCCTCTCCCTCCAGAGGGCCGTTCGAGCGGCTCCCTGCAGCATGAAGGCTGCGCTTGCTTTCTGCTACTCCATTTCGTGTGGCTTCTCAGGAACACAAATGGCGGTTAAGAACACAGACACTGAGATCCAGGCGTCAACTCCTGGACGAAGGGGCACTGGGACTCAGTTTCCTCATCTGTGCCCTCGGAGTCCGCGGTAGGGAGGCAATGTGAGCAAGAGGTGCTCCGGGGAGGGCTCAGCTCCGCCTCGGGCCGGGCTCAGACCCCCCCTCCAGAATGCGACTGCGCTCTCGTGGTTTATGGGGAAAAGGCGCCTTGCAACATGCTGCACTTTTAAATAAAAAGACTTTATTTATGAAATCAGCAGCTAACAGTTTAACAAAGCTTGGGAGGAAATCACTTTCACATGGGGTATGTATGCCACTGAGAAAAGCATTTGGCTAAGTCATAAAATTAACATTTTTTTTAGTTATCTGTAAAGTGCTGAGACATTTATTTCTGGTGAATGCCTGTGTTAGGTTGCTTTGTTTTTCTCTCATCATCCACCCAGTAAGTAAAACACTGATACATAAATACAGTGGCACTCGCTGATTGCTCTCGCACCCAGACACCAGAGCTGGCCCAGTCCCCTGAGCCCCGAGGAGGAGCTGCTCGGGGACGGGCCATGGGGACCTCACCTGCGTGTTCAAGGTGGACTTAGCCCTCCAGCTCGGCAGATGAGAGAACGAGACTTTTTCTTCCTGTTTCCTATAAAGCTAAAACATACACATTTCTAACATGAACATTAATGCTATTTAATAACGAGAAGAGGAGAACAATTTGGCATTGATGCTCATGTCCAAATGTCGACAGGTATCGGGCATTTTGGTTCAAAGCAAACATTATTGGCGAATGCTGCAGACGATGTATCAACTAAAATATTAAACTGGTTAATTTTTTGACCGTTGAGAAATGCGACATAAAAATACTACTTTGTTAAAATAGACAGTTCACACGTCCCACCGCAGCTCTGGGAAGCCCAGCTCACTCCGTCCGGACTGGGTGCGTGTGTGCCCTGGTTTTTTTTTTAACCGTTACAGATTCTATTCTGGAATTTGAAAAGACAGAATATAAATAAAAGTGGTAGTTTGAATCAAGTAAAATTATTTAAAGGATTGTTAATAAACTCCCATACTATGGACTACACTTATTTTCTCATAGATTCTTAGTGTGCAGATTCTCTTAAGCAATACAGGAGAACAGGTCTGACGCTGAAGCTCTAACATAGTGTGTGCGTGTCCACTGCGGCAGCCGCGCGGACGCGGCGCCTCCCCAGAGCGCCGCTTGGTGACTCAGACCCTGCGCCCCCTTCCGCTGCACAGAGGAGAGGGCGGGACGGCAGGAAGGCCACCACTGCGACATTGCACACTTCTTCCCCAGACCCTGTGTGTAACGCGCCCCACGCCGCGCGGACGAGCCACGCAGGCACTGGCGCCTCTCGAGTGATTTCACGGAGAAGCCGTCCTCCACTGCCAGGCCCGGCCAGGGCGGCTCAGCAGGGGACCTGCCAGACCAGGACGGAGGGCGCCAGCTCCTCGCGGTGGGGCGGCCTGGCCTTGCCGGGCACCCGGCGGTGGCCCTGGCCACCGCACACCACCAGCGCCGAGCTGGCCTTGGCCTTCCTCGCCCGCGGCCGCGCCCTGCTCCTCAGCGAGACCACAGGGTCCCTCAGGAGGTCGTGGATGACGCTGTCCTCAGGCCTGTGCTCCAGGTTGCCGGCGCCCTGGCACAGGCTTGGGGACCCCGAGGAGGAGGACGCGGTGTCACTCGTCTGGGTCGCGTCTCCCAACCAGACGGCCGTGTCGGGGGCGTCGCCCTGGCTTGGGCAGGAGCCGGCGCCCTCGCCACCGGGAGGCCTGTCCTTGCCCTTGTCCTTGTCCTCTTCTGCCACCAGGGACTCTGAGGCCGGGGGCAGGCTGTCCCCAGCTCTGTCCTTGTCTCTCCCCTGCAGAGCCTCGGCCAGGAGGATGAACTTGACGGGCCCGTTGTGCGCGTGGTAGGACACCATGCCCCGGCCTGGAGGGAGACAGCCCCACACTGGCCGTTACAATTGACGCATCACGAAAGGAACCCGGAGTGCACAGAGCCCAACCCAGACGGCTCCCCCGGCCCAGTGACAAGACCCTGCGAGTGACCTGCATTCTTGAGTGGCAGGTTAATGTGAAAACATCTAGGTCATATTCTTGTGGATTCTTAGTAATTTGAATAAAACTTCGAAAATGATGATCAAAAACACAAAACTGGGTCTTCTTTGGCAATGTCCCAGTTCTAATACTCATACTGTAATTTTAACCCTTTGCACTCACTTGCTTTTTTTTCATCATCCACTCGACATTATCCACGCTCGACATCTGATGCAAAGGGTTAAAATAATACAGGCCAGGCGCCATGGCTCACGCCTGTCATCCTAGCACTCTGGGAGGCCGAGGCGGGAGGATTGCTCAAGGTCAGGAGTTTGAGACCAGCCTGAGCAAGGGCAAGATCCCTGTCTTTACTATAAATAGAAAGAAATTATCTGGACAACTAAAAATATATAGAAAAAATCAGCTGGGCATGGTGGCGCATGCCTGTAGTCCCAGCTACTCGGGAGGCTGAGGCAAGAGGATCGCTTGAGCCCAGGAGTCTGAGGTTGCTGTGAGCGAGGCTGACGCCATGGCACTCACTCTAGCCTGGGCAACAGAGTGAGACTCTGTCTCAAAAAAAAAAAAAAAAAACGCTGGGGCAAATATCTTTTTGCAGGATACTTCATTCCTAGGTCAGGCTGTTTCCCAAGACAGATTCCTGACCTGGAAATCCTGACTCAGACCAGATGCAGGGCGTGTTTAAGGGCGCATGCCCCGTAAGGCCGCCCCGCTCTCTCCAAAGGGGCTGCAGGCACCAACTCGAGCTCCTGCCCGTGCTGTAATAAGAAGCGCAACCCAGCTTTCCCAGAGCCTGGGCTTCCTTCTTTACATAAAATACGGAATGTACCCACGCCACTGAGCAAGGCTGTGCACAATGGCAGGAACTGGTGGCAGTAAACACAATATGAATACCCACGCTCTGGGGATGCGGCTCTCCTTGGAACAGCGATAGGAGAAATAGAAAACCAAAACTATGGATAAGTCCAACTTAATAGATATACTCTATGAAGTCTTTATAATACACTGATACAACACCCCAAATGATTCGAACTGTTTAAACGACTCTGGGACGTTGAGTCACAGGGCAGACCGCTGCCCGCCAAGCCCATGAGTTTCAGGGCGGAGCCGCCACAGACTCACCAGTCACCTTGGGGATGCCTTGCAGACGGGGGACCGGCAGGGCCACCAGGACTCCCAGGCTGGTGCCAACCATCAGCAACCCATGGCCCACGAGCAGGCTGGTCACTGACAGCCGCTGGTGCCCTGGGGGAGACAGACAGGTGGCTCGAGGCTGGACACCCCGCAGGCCAGCGCCAGGCTCCGGGTCACCAGCAGACCCCCAAAGCGGGACACGGCACGGGAGGTGCTCACACCTGAGCGCTGGGCTTCCCGAGACGGGACCACAGGGACCCGGACGACATAGCTGAAGGGCAGGTGCGTCCTGCAACTGTACCCGAGCACAGCGGCAGTGGGGCAGGTGCGTCCCTGGGCCTCCCGCCCACCTCCCCCCTGCGAGGCTCTGGTTGCCCTTTTTGGGTGTCAATCACCCTAGAATCATCTGGCCAAACCACCTGCTTCCGTGTGGCACAGATGAGCCCCAGGCCCCAACACACATGCAGCTGCCACAGCTCTGGGGGGCGGGGGAAGGCCCAGAGCCCCTTCACATGCAACGAGGGGTCTCCTGAAGTGTGGGGGCTCTGGAGTGAGGGCACCTGGCTGCACGGTTGTGGCCTGGGGGGGGGATGGAAAGGCGTCCCTGGGCTCTGTGGGAAGAACAAGAATATCTTAGGACTCGCGCTAGGACCCTAGCATCGGAGGCTTTTAAAGCTGTTGGTTAGTTTTGTTTTGATTTGCAGCCAAGGATCTGAAGCCCAGAGCAATGACACCGCTTGCTCTGGGTGGTGACAGGGCTGGGCAGTGGTGACGGACGGAAGTGGGAGAAGCTCCGATGGTGACAAAGACAGCCCCCACCCCTCACCAGCCCAGTTCCGAGGGGCAATTCTGAACCGTGGCTTTCTGAAGGAGACAAGATATCACCACTGCTGGCCTGTCTCTGTTTGGCCCCAAAGCCCACAACCACGGAAGGCAGGTTTAGTTTGGTCGTGAGCCACAGTGCTGAGGGCTTAGAAACCAGTTTGCTTCTTCTTTTCTGTGGACACGGAAGCTGTTCCCAGTATCTCTGCCTTTGACCCCCGTCCACCTTAGATACAGAGAATGAGAAACAAAGGACCCGACACTACCAGAGCCAAAGACAATTGGCGCCTCTATAGAAGTCAGTTTGATGAATTATTTAGGTGACAGCAAAACTAACCGTACCCAAAACAAACAAATGACCCCTAGCTGCAAAAAAAAAAAGACATTTGGTTTTATTTCTAAACTCAGATTCACATTCTCACCTGCTTTGGGCAACTAGGGTCTCAGAGACGTGTCAGAACTGCGGCTCACCCACAGCACCGTCCCGTGAGCAAGCAGGTGCTGCTATTTCTAAAAGCTAATCAGAAACCGCAGCAATTTCTGGTGTTTGACTGCTCGCTTGACCAGCCAGCACTTGGTAGGGAGAGACAGAGCCCCGGGGGCAGCCCGGCGGCAGGGCAGCGGCGAGACTGTGGACACATCCTCTGGAGCATGTCTGACTCGATGGTAAGTGTTTAGATGCTAAACGTGACCATCTTGTGCGACAGGAAACCAACCTGCATGCACATCCGCATAAACTTCACTCCGAACCGCTGCAAGGCTGCGGCAGAAGCGGCCGAAGGCCGTCACTGCTCCGCGCCTTCAGCTTCCTTTCGGCAAAGCCTCGTTCTCTCCCCTATAGATCTACGACACACAGCTGGACTAGGGTTTTCCACCTACAGCTTCTGATGTTAATAATCTTATCTCAAAAGATCCCTCACAAATGTCCTCTAGCAGAGCTGGGGGAGACTTGCCCCCCCCCAAGACCCCAGGGCCACCGATCACCTGGTTCTCAGCCACCCCCAGTGGAGGGAAGTGCAATGGGGGCTGCTATATTCCAGCTGTCCTGAATTTGAGTAAATTTGCTTTTTAAAATGCAAGCATGTTGGAAACAATAAAACAAGTGACACCTGGTGGCCAGCCTGGGCAGGGTTCTGGGCTCAGCTCAGAGGCTGCTGTGGGATTAATAACATCACATCATCCCACATTTACCCCCAAGGTGCTAGTTATGCCCTCATATAAAGGAAAACTATGCAAATGAATCAATTAACAACTTTTATGATTTTTAAACTTTAACATCCTATAATATTTTGGTTTGGGGAAACTGAATTTCATTTAATTTTCCTACAAAGAGGAATTTCTGAGTTAATTTTCATGAATAGTGAATTTATACATTTTTAAATAATGATTTTGGATTACTACAGAAGCACTTATGATACTTTTACTCTGTAAACAACTTCACTCTAAAGACAGCTAATGAGAAAAATGGTGATTTCAAAAACAGCCCATCTCAAGAATTAGAGCTATGCCTTTGCACTTCAGACTGCTGCAGATATCCATGTCAATCATAAAAGGTTTTTTTTCCCTGCTTCCTATAGACTTAGAACTTACTAAGTATAACTTTTATCAGTTATGGATTTATACAAAAGGAAATATGATGAGAAATTTATCAGCCACCTTAGTATAAATTACTAAAGAGACTGAAATGTTGTGACACAATAAAAGTCTTTAAAATTCCCTTAGCTTAAATGTTAATGATGCTTATATTTGCTACACATCTACCACTACACCCAAGAATATAGTACCTCGATACTTGCAGGTAAATTGGTTTTGTAGCTTTGCCTTTGATATTTTACATTTTACTCTTCTGTCATCTAAAAGATTTTGGGGTATTAATGAGTGCCTGATTACCTCCGGTCCTATTTGGCTTATTTAATTGGCTATAAGCCCCATTTCGGCTCTTCAGTCCTCTTGGCCACAAGGGTCCCACCGAGGGACTGGATGGACCCAGGGCAGGCAGCCACACCACCCTGGCAACGGATGGGACAAAAAAAAAAAGTTTGGCCATAGATGCTGCCTCTGACAGATCTTAGCCAAAAGGGGGAAATTGTAAACTACAATACAATTTTAAGGCTCACACCCCACCCCCACTGGCTGACTAAATGTACCCCCTGGTGGCCAAAGGAGTATCCTAAAACTAATTGCCTGCTAGGAGAAATGAGGTCAGACAGGCCTCATCTTGCCCCCTCCCTTCTTGGGGACATCCTTTGTAACCCATTAACAGGCCTAAGGGTAAGCAAGACAGACCTGCAGGCCCTCAATTTACACAACAAATCTATGTCTACTGGCTTATCTCTGATAGCAGCTCCTTGTGTTGAAACATGCTGAAGCTTCATGTCTTTAACCAATTACAAGCCAAAGAATCTTTAAACCCACCTATAACCTGTAAGCCCCTGCTTCGATATGTCCCACCTTTTTGGGCCAAACCAATGTATGCCTCCCACGTATTGACTTATGACTTTACCTGTAACCCTGTCTCCCTGAAATGTATAAAACCAAACCATAACCCAGCAACACTGAGTCCACTGCTCAAGGCTTCTTGAGTGTGGCTCTGGGTCATGGTCCTCAAATTTGGCTCAGAATAAATCTCTTTAAATTATTTTACGAACTTTGGCTTTTTTCCGTTGATAAGACAGATCTTTATAATGTAATTTCATCCCAGAGACAGGACCCTTAAGTATTTCCAGCTGCTAACAAAAACGTGGGAGAAAACTCACTGCCAAATTAGGAGGGATGAAACATTGCTACTCATTTTCATTCAGAAACACACTTTGAAAATGATCATTTATTCTCCTGATAAATTTTCCCCCCTCCCTTTGCACGTAAACAACAGATTCCAGGAAATCTCGATTTTCATCACGTCCCCAGATTTTATACCTAACTCATGTGTAGCAGAATCTGGGGAACCTTCTAGAGCCTCTGTGGATAAACTCCTTCCTCAGAATGGGGTCTTTCTAGAGAGGTCGCACGATAGGAACAGCTTGGGTCACAGAAGGTCGCCTGCGGGAGCAAGCGCGTGAAAGGCGGGGAGGCTCCTGTGGAGCCAGCTCTTGCGCCACTGCAAAACCCAGATGTTAATTTTGCTAACACGCTCAGAAACTAAAGAAAATGATACAGCTCCAGGGAATTTTTAAATTCCATTTTCAGGGTTGTCTACGATGCACCTTTAACTTCACACAGGAAAGCCCAGCGGACACAATCACGGCCGACAGTTTCCAGCCGCGGAGGATGCGGGACTGTGAGCCGCACGGGTGTCCGTCCAGAAGCGCCAGCGGCGATCGCGCACGATGCTGCGGGGCCTCCTAGGGGGCGGGAGGCAGGTGACGCAGGGGCGCAGGACAAGCCGCAGGGAGAGTTTACAGATGGGTTACAAACGCAAAGCGGGGACCGAGGGCGTGCTCTTGTCTCTGCACGCGCAGCTGACGCGCAGAGAGCAGACGCGCTCCGGGCACAGCGCGGACCCGGAGGCGCGGGCGTGAGCTGCACGGCTGGGTTAATGCAGCGCTTCCGATAAACTCGCCGCAGGACGGGGAAAGGCGGCAGCAAGCAGGTCCTCAAAGCATGGCAGGAAAAGCTACAAGGGGATCCGCTCTCCGCCTTTTCACCCCATAACTTAAACCTCTGGACAGAGCAGGGACAGGCCACTGGCGAGCCCCGGAGGACGCCGAGGCCAGGAGAGGAGGGGGCACCCAAGTCCCCAACCTTGTTCCTTAACTCAGCGTCCTCAGTCCTCACAGTGTGGTCTAGGTGTTCAGAAGGTCACTTGCTTTTCTTAAGAGCCAGACTGCAGCTCACTTGGCCAGGCCTTCCGGAGGCCCCACACTCGCTCAACAGGTCACGGAGGCTGCATTTAACGGGGTCTCCAACTTTTCCACAGCAACTCCACCTGTGGCCTTCTGGACAGAGCAGGAAACATCTGCACCAGCGAGGAGTTGACTCTCGGCTGTCACAGCTGGGAACGGATGCAGCCCTTTCAACTCACTGGCTATGAACTCTGCTCCTTTGCAACTTAGAGCTTCAGCGACTCCGCTAAAAACGCGTGCGTTGATCACAGAATGGTTCACCACCGGTTGTTGGCCTGTGTCAGATTTTACGTGGTTTATGTGAAAGAACTCGAGCTAATCGTTTTCAGAAGTGAATTCCCAACAGGAGGAAAAGACCCTGCATTTAGCTGTAGGTTCGAGCGTCTGAGAACTCTGAGGAGGGGAAAAGACTGAATCGAGTTTTGTCAACTTGTAAAAGAAGGTGGGAGTTAGAGTGTCATTTCTTTCCTTTTCAAGTTCTGTTCTTTTTGGCTTGGCAGGTCTTCATTTGCAGAACCTGCTTTAATTTTATATTCCAGCAACAGCAACAGCGTGATGATCGCACTCGGCAGATCAGCCGCAGACAACTTCGCTGTTGAAACTGCCGCTGCCGCTAAGTGCTGGCTCTACCAGAGGGCAGGGCTGGCCCAGGCCGAGGTCTCCTGCATGCTGCTTCTGGTCCCAGTGGTGGGCGGACCGGTCGGCGTGTGAGCCCGCCTGGGTCTGTGCCCAGAGGGACGCCGGTGATCATGCCTGTCTCTTGCACGGGAGCAAGTCAAAGACGACATCGGGGAGGCCACAGTGGGGACAGGGCCCCCGAGCGCAGCTGTGCCTGCCCTGCTCTGTCCTTGCAGCCTGGGCCTTGAGTGCTGCTTGGTATTGTCAAGTACAAGCTCCACCATGTGTGCTTGCCTTCCCTTCCCCTTACGAGTTTCTTTCTGATCACAAGTGGAGAGGGTTAAATAAATACCAAGGGTCCTGGGGTGGCCACTGCATTTTGGTTGGCTGGCTCAGAGCTCCGGAAACACGGCAACTGGGGGCTGCCCGGCCTGGGCGTTGGGGGCGGCCTGCACCAGGGCAGCTCAGACACTGCTTCCTCAAAGCAGCCTCCTCGCCTGCCGCCGCACGGGGAGCTTGGAGCGCTCGGCACTCCCGGGCCGGGCCGGGCCGGGCCGGGCCGTGCTCCGGCAATCCGCTGATGTGACTTGGGTTCCTCCCAACAGCCAGGGCGAGCCCTGCAGCAGACATTCGCTCCACAGCACGTGCTCAGGACACGCCCGCCCCGCCGCAGAGCGGCGGCACACTTTCCAAGCCAGAGGGAGCAAGCTGTTTTGGTTTTCTAAATATAAACTTGCATGTTACATAAATCTCCATTTTCTTCACCAAATGAAAATATCCTACAGTCTTTTAACTATGATTTGTATAGAGCTGGCCCCATAGAAAAGAACAGCTACCACAGCCTCGCCCTCTGTCTCCAGCGAAGGACTGCCCCATGAACCTCTGAACCTCCTCCTCCTCTTCCTCCTGCCCCTCTCCCTCCTCCCACCCCTTCTCAAAGGGCAGCCACACACCCTTTCTAGAAAATGATCTCTAAATTATTGTATTTTTCAATGCATCATAAATGGTACCTGCTATGGGCTGAGTGTGTCCCCCACATTCGTATTCGGAAGTTCTAACCCCAGTGTGTTGGTATTGGGAGGCTGTGAGAGGTGATTGGGATGATTAGGGGTCATGAGCGTGGCCCCCGAAAGGGCTGGTGCCTTTGCAGGAAGAGGAGGAGACCAGAGCCCACTCTCCACACTCGAGGACACCGTCTGCACACCAGGGATCAGGTCCTCACTAGAACCCAGCCCGCCGGCACCTGGGGCTCGGGCACCCAGCCCCCAGAACCTGAGAAATGCTTTGCTGCTGTGCGTAAGGTGCTGGTATCTGTCGTGGTGGGGACCTGCGGCGGTAGCCTCATCTCCTTAGACAACAGACATCTTCCAATATCGCCAACCCACCGAGAGATGAATGCACCAAAACGAAAACCTTCCGCCAATCCCAGGATGGTCTCATGCCACCCGTGAAGGGTCACTAAGACCCAAAAACCAAATCCAGGTGCCTGGTGTGAATAAGGTTTGCAAATCATGTGGATCAATTTGATTCGCTGCCCCACGGGGACGGGACCAAACTGACTTCTGAGCGGCTGTCCCCAGCCGACCGACTCCATGACTCAAACACCCCAAACACAAGTCCATGAAGAGGCGACTGGACTGGGACGCCCGTCCTGCCCACCGTCCACTGCTGACGTGCTCAAGGTGAGATCCAGCTTCCCTCCTTCCTGCCCCCTTTGCATCCACATCCGAGCCCTGGGCGAGACTCCCCCCACCCCACCCCTGCCTTCCTCTTGCCCTCTCCCTGCCACCTGCCAGGCCAGGCCGGCAGATCGAGGCAGTCTCGGTCCCCTTCTCCCTGCTCTCCACATCTTTCTGCAGGATGATCTTCCCAGCACTCAGTGTGGGACAAATTCTTTCCTGTTGAAAGCCTTCAGTGATCCCACCAGGAAATACGGGCATGGTCAAGCTGGTCGCCTCTGCCCCTCATGCTCATATACTCTGGCTACATGCTTATACACACCAGCTGCACGCTTACACACACCAGCTGCACGTTTATACACATCAGCTGCACACTTACACACACTAGCTCCATGCTCATACACAGTAGCTCCATGTTCATACATACTACATACCTATATACATACCAGCTACATGCTTATACAACCAGCTGCACGCTTACACTCCCTTCGCTCTCTGTGCATGACCTGGGTCTGGGAGGCCCTCCCTAAAAGTCCGCCCCCTCCCGATGACTCTCCTGTTCTAGATCCTTTCCCCCAGTCCTTGCTGCACCAGAGCCTCACCACGGTTAACGATGAGAAACCTTCCGGCCGCCTGCTCTGACCGGTAAAGATACCACTGGAACCTGGTCTTACTCCAGGACACGGAGGTGCTTAGGGGACCTTGTGTCACGGACCTGTAAGGGCTAAGAGGGCGGGGAAGGGGATCTCCAGGCCCCGCCCCATCCAGAGGTGTCTCTAGGCCCGGCCCTCCCCCACCAGCCCCTCCCCCGCCAGCCCCGCACCTGGCAGCAGGTTGTGCACGGGCGCGGCGATGTTGACATCCTGCAGGTGCTCCAGTGTCTCGGTGTGGAAGAGGCGGAGTGTGGAGCCCGAGGTGAAGGCGATCCAGATCCCGACGCCGGCCACGGCCATGTGCGAGATCACCATGCCCTCCTCCTGGTGTGCCTCCAGCTGGTTCTGCGGGCAGACAGCGGTCGTGGGGGCGGCCCGGCTGGGTGCGGCCCTCAAGGCTGCGTAGGACCCTCTAGGCCTCCCACCCAGCGGCTTGCTCGCCCTTCACGTCGCCCCCTGCGTGCCCAGGTGCGCACATGCCGGCTGGGGCTCTCCGGCTCCGGCCCAGGTGCCTCTCTGGGATTGGAGGAGGGAGCCAGGGGTGGGCATGAAACTCAGAGACAGCCCGCAACGAAGCAGCATCCTCAAAGATCTTGAAATGTAAAAAAGAAATCGCAAAGGCCTGCATAATTCTCTAAATTAAAATAATTAAATTTTTCTTAAAAACCCAGGAAAACAAGACTTACATCTCTGCCCTAAGAGGTGTCCCCCAGCGTTTGTGAGCAAGGGGTGGCTGGCCCACCCCACCCCCACCCCGCCACTCAGGTTGTGCGCCCTGCCGGGAGAGGCTCAGCCGGACGTGCCACTGGTAACCACACCCAGTGCCCGCCATGCACCTCGGAAGGGACGCGCTGAAGGCAACTGGAGGTGGGTGGTGGCTGGACGCCAGTGTGTCACGTCCTATTTTCGCCGAGACTGGGGCGAGCGGTGTGAATGGCTGGGCCTGTAGCCTGGGCACCAGGGGGTGTGGGAGGCCGGCCTGACGCAACCGTCACCACGACCGTCACGGTGGGTCTTGGTGGGCCCTGGAGCAAACTGTTGCTCTTGGAGACCCCACGGCCCTCGCTGTGAGGGGAGCAGGGACCTCAGGCGGAAGAGGAGGACCTGCATTGTGGCCCCAGCTGCAGCTCTGGCCCTGCAGGGTGGACGTCACTACAGGCCTGGGCTCTGTCCTTGCCTTCACCAGGGGCTGTCCCGTCCCTAAAATGCCGGCACTACAGTCAACTCTGTGGACACCTCTCACCACGGGCTCATCTTTCCTCACTTAAAGTTACTTCAATAAGGCCGGGCACGGTGGCTCACGCCTGTAATCCTAGCTCTCTGGGAGGCCGAGGCGGGAGGATCGCTCAAGGTCAGGAGTTCGAAACCAGCCTAAGTAAGAGCAAGACCCCGTCTCTACTATAAATAGAAATAAATTAATTGGCCATCTAATATATATAGAAAAAATTAGCCGGGCATGGTGGCGCATGCCTGTAGTCCCAGCTACTCGGGAGGCTGAGGCAGGAGGATCGCTTGAGCCCAGGAGTTGGAGGTTGCTCTGAGCTAGGCTGATACTCTAGTCAAGGCAACAGAGCAAGACTCTGTCTCAAAAACAAACAAATAAATAAAATAAAATAAAAATTACTTCGATAATCTCCAGTTGAACTTAAATATTTGCCCATGGAAAGGAGCCAGTGCTCACGCTTATGCACCCTCAAGTTGCTGACCCAGTTCTTACTAGGGTCGAGCTCCTCCCCCTGGGCAGGTGTGAGTGGCAACGCACAAAGACCAAAAGTATTTTTAAGAACTGAAGTTTCATGGGATCTGCAATCTCCGACATATCTGGGCCATGCAGCGTAGCAGAGAGTATTTGCCTGGGATTCTGGAAGTCTGGGTTCAGATTCTGGATGATTCCAGCTCTGGCCTATTTCTGACCCCCTCCCCTCACTGTCTCCCCGGCCACAGGAGCACAGGCCTGCCCCTGCAAGTGCACCCAGACAGGGCAGTTTCCTCTCCTCCCTGCTCCCTCTGCTGAGGTTCTCTGGTCCCCTTCTCTCCAGCGACAGGCTAGCTCAGTCCTGCCTCTTCACTCCCGCCGGGCGTGGGGGCCTTTCTCTCCTGATTTCCTTCATCCAACCCCCAAACGTGTACAAGTCTCACTCACCACAAATTCTAAATGAAGAATAAAAGGAAAAAGGGAAAGAAAGAAAAGTGCCATGTCCCCCTTCCGCTGTGGTCCTCGATTTCCCACCGGCAGCCGCCCGCAGGCCGTCCAGCTCCTGTCTCAGGGAGGTTGAGGCAGACGCCCGCTGGGCTCCCCAGTGATCTCCAAAACTGCCGTATCCAGCAAGCAGTTCTTTTGCTGGAAACTGAGGCCTAACTCGCACATCACAAGAGCCACCGTTTTAAAGTGTATAATTCAGTGGTTTTTAGAATATTCAAAAAGTTGTGCAGTCGCCATCACCAAAACAACATTCCAGAACATTCCATCTGTTTCTAGAACATTCCATCACCTGTTAGCAGTCTTTCCTCCTCCCTCCATCCCAGCCAGCCCCTGACAACCACTAACCTACTCTCTGCCATGGATCTGCCTGTTCTGGAGGATGTTTGATAACAATGGAACTACACAACACATGGCCTCCGTGTCTGGTCTCTGTCATGGAACAGAACGTGTTCAAGGTTCGTCCCCGCTGTGGCCTGTGTCACTGCTCATCTCTTCTTCCGGCTGAGTGATGTCCCTTTGTGCGGAAGGACCACAGGCTGTCTGTCCGTTCACCAGCTCACAGGGATTCAGGGTGTACCCACTTTTTGATTATGGTATTAATAAATAATGCCACTATCATCGTTTATGTATTAGTTTTTGTGCACACGAATCTAAGTTCTTTGGAACATACACCTGTGAATGGAAATGCCGGGTCATCTAGTAATTCCATGAGTGACTTTTTGAGGGCCCGACAGACAGTTTTCCGACAGTTCGGGACACTTTATGTTCCTGCCAGCAACACACGAGTCTTGCAGTTTCACCGTGTGCTCTTCCTCCTGACTCCTCTTCATCCTTTCCCCCTGGAGGGAGGTAGGGAGGGAAGCCCACAGCCCTGAATTTGGACCTGAGGGTCTCAACTCTGCCACACACTGAAGTCGCCCAGGGTATAAAGAAGGGCCGCCATCCAGACCCCGTGCCCTGGAGTCTCGCTCACTTGGCGAGCGGTGGAACTCGAATGTAGGACTGTTTCTGAGGTGCTCGGCGTGCAGCCAAGCGTGAAGACGGCTGAGTCACAAAGCCCGGTTTGAACTCCTTGCTTCCTGAATAGCTTCAGGGCGGCGGGTCTCACCTCTGGGGCTCGGTAAAGCACAGCTGGCCACCAGCACAGCAGGCGCAGGTCACCGGGACTTGCGCTCAGACCATGGAAAGGCAGCCTGTGGCTCGGACTCCAGGCGCGCATCACAGGCGCAGGGGCCGGCAAACCGTCCGCGGTTCACAGCAGCGGCCGCGGCGCCGGAGCCCGAGCCCACACTATGGAACTCGGGAAAGGGGCATTTCTGAACACCGTCGTCACCCGTGCCGTGAGGGACCCCAGCCCAGTAGGAGGAGGACCAGGAGGACCACAGCCCTCCTGCACCCCTGTCCGCAGGGGGCAGGTGAGGCCTCACCCTTCTGTCTGGTTTCCTGCAGGGAAGGGGTTCCCTTTTCATCTTTTGTAAGCGCTACAGACTCTCGGGACTCACACTGCCAAGACGAGGGCTGGAGGAAGGGCAGGGCGGTCTTCCTCTGCATGGCCCTGCTCATGGCCAAATCCCTGAGGCTGCACACGTTTGTGGTTGCCATGGCAGAAGAGGGGCCATGCCCCTCCCTCCCGGTTGCCCACTGCTCAGACTTTCACATAAGAATCGATCTCAAATCGGCACGTCTCTGGAGAGAAAATGGAAAATGCCACCTGCTGCCCGTTTGTGCACAAGCCTCCACAAGGCTGACTCCTCAAGTCGGGTCAGGACCAAGCAGGCATTACTCCCTGGAAAACTAGGGGACAGCGGGGAGCTTGCATAGATAGGTTTTAAAAGGAAAACAGAAAAGCACAGCGTGTGAGGGGCTCTGCGGTGCTACTAGAGACTGGAGGAGCAGAGCCCCCCGCCGCCCTGGCTGCTGTTTCGGTGACTGTTAACACTCTGCAAAGGAGATCCCAAACCCAGTCTGCTGAGCCTCAACCCTGGAGTTTCTAACCAGGCGGAACCTCCTCGATGCGTGTTCTGGTGTTCCTGGGTGGAGACGGGGGAGAAGAAACCCTTTTCCTTCTTCTTCTCTTTCTTTCCTTTCAGCTTCAGCCGAGAGCTTTCGGTATTAAGCAGCTACAGTGATTAGACTGAAACTGTGGCTCCCAGCACTAAGGAACAAATGTCAACACCTGCCGGAACACCAGGATAATTAGCCTTTTCCTAAATGTCAGATTGTTTTAGAACCACCCCGGTGTTTCTGACACTCTAAAATTCCAAAAGGAATTTAATAAACCCAAGCTAGAAAAAAAAACATGTGCAGTTGTGTGTGTGGGGGAAATGATCCCCCCAAAAGTCCAGGTGATTGCAGCCTCCACCGCCTGGCAGTTTAGCATTAACAGCAGGTCAGCAGGTTTCCCAACTGCTGCTGAGGGCACTGACAGGCAGGCAGTAGGCAGGGCCTGTCCCCTGCCCTGGGGCTGCAGACTCCGGCCCGGCCCGGCCCAGCCTCCCCCATGGTCTGCCCAGCTCTGCCAGATTACGGCGCCAGAGGCCAGCCCCCCCAGCCTGCAAACGTACCAGGCTGACGAGGTGTTCAGAGCTGCCTCTGTACAGGGGCTTGTCCACAAACGTACCATCCACTGCACTAGAGCAGTCGCTTTAAGAACATTTAGGCCGCAGAGCCTCAGATACCTTTTCTTCCAAATGCGCCTTGTACCTTCCATCCTGCTGAACCCACAAGCCCAGGATCACTGAAGCCCACAGGCCAGGCAATGTCCCTGTAGCCCACCACCCCCTGGGACAGCTCCTGGCAGCAGCCACCCCCCAGCAGGGAGGAGACACCTGCACAGTCCAGATCTTAAGGCTGCACCACCATCTCAGCTGTAGTTTCCCTGCACAACGGGAGCTACATGACGAATATTTTTTTTCAAAAAAGAGCAGATCTTTGCTTCTCTCTATAAATATATTTAGATATTTTGGTCTAACAAAATGCACAGAAAGGAGCTTTATATTTGGATCCAAACATTACTTCTCGAGCCTTCGAGATTTACAGCATATAAGTTCTCTGGAACATGTGGAAATAAGGTTTTGATTATAATAAAGTCATAATTTAGGAATGTTATGTTTTCCTGGGAGCTTCTTGGTGATAGCTACAGAAACCATCGTTGTAGCTTTTTTTTTTTTTTTTTTTTTTTTGGTGGTAGTTTACAACAAAAAGAATGCATCGTTTTGGGGGAAAATATTTTAAATTATTATTATTTATGTGCAGAAGAAAAGCAAATACAAACTAACAAAATAGTATACCTGGCTCTTGTATATTTGTACTAATGATACTTCATTCTAATAAAAACTACAGCTGCCACTCCAGAGCTCTCTGCTGGGTACTTTTATGTTGCATTTTACCCATGAAGCCCAAGTAGTGGCTGATCCGAGATCACCTTATGCTACATTGCCAAGCCAGGACCTGAACCACGAGCCTTCTTAGACGCATAATCACTAGGCATAATCACTAGGCGGCGTTACCGCGGTGTGCAGGACTGTCAACCAACACGAAGTCCCAGCAGCACTGGGACATCCCTGCTCAGGAGCATTTGTCAGTTACAGCTGCAGGCTAGCCGAAGGCTCTTACTCTCAAGGTACAGGAAATATAATGTATTGGTGGGATATAAAAAGTAACAAAAAGCTGCCATCACAATACTGGGGAAAATAATCTACAATGCTTCCATCCCGCCCTCTGTACTCTGGCAAGAAGGGCCTGCCCTAAGTCGTGGGTCCCTAACCTGGGGCCTCCTGCATCTTGCCCAAGCTTATCTGCAGAGAACGCTTCTGGAAAAGGTTGCGAGCTCTTTACATGCTAACTGGTAACGTGCCTGCCTTCCGGAGAAGCGCAGGGGGAGGTGCTGCCCAGCCCGCGCTCGCCAGCTGGGGTGCACCGAGGCTCACCCTGCCAGGGCTGGGGGAGGGAGGGATGAGCCTAACTACACATGTCGTTGCTCATTTGTGCAAACCCATAGAACGTACAGCACCAAGCCTGAGCCCGGCGTCCACTGTGGATGCGGGTGACAATGACACATCAGCGCAGGTTCATCGACTGCTGCTGACGCACCGCTCTGGGGTTGCCGCTAGTGGCAGGGCTGGATGTTTGGGAAGTTCTGCACGTTCCACCCAATTTTGCTATGAGCCTAAAACTGCTGTAAAAAGTAAGACTTATTAATTTAAAAATACCTTATTTCAATAGGCAATTTTAGTCATTAATGAGGCAAAGTGTGTGTGTGAGTATATTGCTTATTTGTCTTTCCTTTCATGGCCTTTGAACATTTTCTATTAGGTTGTTTGTGTCTTTCTTACAGTTTAGTAGAATTTTTTGTATTTTAAGAAGATCAATCATTGGTTGTATATACAGGAAATATATTCCCAACTTTTCATTTGTAATTTTTTTTTGAGATAGGATCTTGCTCTGTTGCCCAGCCTGGAGTACAGTGGCATCACTGTTGCTCACTGCGGCCTCCAACTCCTGGGCTCAAGCAATCCTCCTGCCTCAGCCTCCCAAGTCGTGTGGCTACAGGCACCACACCAGGCTAATTTTTTAAATATTTTTGTAGTTACGGGGTCTCCCAATTGCTTAGATTGGTCTTAAACTCCTAGTCTCAGTGATCCTCCTGTTTTGGCCTGGCTAAGTGCTAGTTCTACAGGCGTGAGTCACCACATCTGGTTCACTTAAAAAAGTTTTGATACCCATGCACATACATTGGATGTGAAAAAAGTTATATAACTTTATAGTTTGGGAGGCCGAGGCGGGAGGATCGCTCAAGGTCAGGAGTTCCAAACCAGCCTAAGCAAGAGCAAGACCCCGTCTCTACTAAAAATAGAAAGAAATTAATTGGCCAACTAAAAATATATATAGAGAAAAGTTAGCCGGGCATGGTGGCGCATGCCTGTAGTCCCAGCTACTAGGGAGGCTGAGGCAGGAGGATCACTTGAGCCCAGGAGTTTGAGGTTACTGTGAGCTAGGCTGACACCACGGCACTCACTGTAGCCTGGGCAACAGAGTGAGACTCTGTCTCAAAAAAAAAAAAAAGTTATACAACTTTATATTTTATTGTATTCTTTATCATGACAGCTTCTGGGTGTGGCCTTCTTGGTGAGGCTGTCCCTTATAGCAAAGTGACGGAAACATTCTCTTGCTCTTCTGTGTTCATGGTTTCAGTTTTTATGTCGAAATTTCTACCCACCCGGAATGTTTAGAAGAGGAGCGTTCCGGGGCGTGGGGCCCAGGCCCGGGTTTGCTGAATGGCTGGGGCTGGCTGGCATCTCCTCATGCTCTAGCGCGTGACCCGCTCACCCCACTGGGCTGAACGGCCGTGTCAGGCAGGTGATAGTTTCCCACGGGTCCCTGAGGACCCTCTGTTCATACTGAGTATGTTTCTTAAAGTAATAAGTTTCTATTAAATAGCAGGAAACCAGTGAACACGGATAAAAGGTTAGTAAATATTACCGTGTTTCCCAGAAAATAAGACCTACCCATAAATAAGCCCTGGCAGGATTTCTAAGCATTTGTGCAATAGAAGCCCTACCCCGAAAATAAGACCTAGTGATGGGCGTGGCTACGCAGCGCATCTGCACAACCCATGCATCTCATCGCAGAGCGGTCAAGAAGAGGAATAGCCCTTCTCATCTGCCCCATCGTGACAGCGACTATCCCAGAGGTGACCGGAAAGGTGCGGGCAGCCCCACCCACAAGGTCGGCTCCCCCGTCAGGTCCCGGCCACCCTGTGCGTGCTGCAAGCTGAGGCTTTGAGCGGAAAATAACACACCCCCTAAAAATAAGCCCTGGGTGTCTTCCTAAGGAAAAATAAACATAAGACCCTGTCTTATTTTCGGGGAAGCACAGTAACAGCTGAGTTTTTCTAATTCACCTTATCTTTTCTAAGCAGAATCATAAAGGAATTTCTTTCACCCGTGACCAGAGGCGAGAGGCGCCTGGGTTTCCTGTGAGTGGAGGCGGCTCTTAGACTGCAGCCTGGGAAGTCGGGGGCTGTTTCTGGACTGCACCTCGCCATCCCCCTGCCCCCGGGCGGCTCACCTCCACAGCAAGCGTCGCAACCCCGATGATGAACACCTGGCCCCCGGAGGCCGCCCAGAGCGTGTCTTCCACCAGCAGCAGACTTCTGACCGGGAGGACGCCGAGTTTTATCACTTTCTGAGGTTCGGAATTCCAGGTTCCATCTTAAAAGAAAATATTTAATTGCATTCGGGTTCCGTTCTCTGCACAGGGACGGGGAGGCGGGGGGAGCACAGAGCACTTTCAGTAACAGACGACCGAAGTGTCGGTCGTGATTTTCCTGCCTCTGATTGATGTTGGGAGTGTCCGGGGCTCCAAGAGTGAGCGCTGAGGTGGCAGGGAAGCCCCTCCGCAGCCAGCAAGCTCGGAGCACCTGCAGTCAGTGTGCGTCCCTCTCACCCCAGCCTGGCCACTCCCCAGTGTCAGCAGAAATCATTCATTTGCCCTGAATCTCAGTGTGCTTAACTGTAACATAAGGGCAATCCTACCACTAGTTTAAAGGTTGTTTTAAAGATTAAATATAATGCATGCAAAAACCTCAGCCCAGCACTTGGCAGGCAGATGCTGGACGAATACCAGTATTTACAGCAATAATATATAAAGTGATCTATCCACCAGGAAAAGGAACTGCACCCAGAGTAACCAGGCACATGTTTAAATTTCACCATTACCTGCTTTGATTTTACAAATCCCTTGTTCCATACTCTATCATGAAGACAGTTCATGATATCTTCACTGAATATGAAAAAAAATCAAGATTGGGGTTAAAGGAATCCTTTCTTGTGATGAACTTACTCTCTTTCCCGAAGCCTACAGAGTAATAAAATATTTTGTTTTGAAAATGTTCTCAAAGCTCCACTGATGAGGACTCCTATGCTTTATATAAAGTATGTGTGGATAGCTTGGATATCGATAAAAAAAATTGCTGGAAGCAAGATTCAACGCAGATTTTAAGAGCAAGTACTATAACCATTCTGTAAATAATCACAGTGAGCTCTTCAGCTCGGCCTGGCCAGCAATGAAGCCAGCGTGCACACAGATGCGGCTCGGCGCCTCCCACGCTCTCACGACACAGACACGCCTGGTCAGCTGGGGGCCAGGCCCGCTCCCGTGCCTGAGTTCTGGGGGGCGCGAGGTCTCTGAACACAGACCTGTTTGGGAGCCAGGCTCTGAGCCGCGGCCACGAAGGCAGCTGTGCACGCTCTGACTCCGGCGCCCTTTAGCCACACGCAGCTGCGGTGCGACGCCTTGCGCCACAGCCAGGACAATTCCCAGCCCGTGGCCACCGCCCGCCTTCCACGCGCAGTGTCTGCGCTGGGTCCGGGATGTCTCCATGTGCTAAGCATGAACGCACACACACATGTATGTGCGCGCACACCCCCACGTACACTCACTCACAAATGCACACGTGTGTGTATGTGCACACACACATGTGAACACACGCAGACACACGGCCTCGCATTTGCGGGCACACACACATGTGCATAGACACAAGCCCTCGAATATGGCGCTCACAGCCCTCTGAAGCACTGGGAGCTCCACGTTTAGCGGGCACACACGGTGTTCTCGGACAGGCACGTGTTCCCTAGCGCACGGCACGGCACCAGCACGCCAGGCTTCTGAACCTGGGTGGGAACTCCAGTCCTCGCCCCGTGTCTGTGTCCCAGGCAGTGTCCGGCGCGGCTCAGCGCTGCCCCACTGACCTGCGACCCTCCGAAGCAGGACCCCGAGCTGACAGACGGGGCGACATACGTCACATGCTGCACTCTGGTTCAGGGTCAACCTCCAACAACGGCGCTTTGTTTCCCGAGCACCTCGGCCGCTCTCCCTGCAAACACTGTGCACCTGTCTCTCCCACGGAACCCTCTGGATGCGGTGACCTGCCACAGCAGCGGACCCCGGAGCCCAGGGAATGGGGCGAGGGTCCCTGCGGGGCCCAGGTGCAGTTCCAGCTATTATTCCCCGCATTTTATCCTTCTGATAAATTTGCCTTTTTACTCACAAAGCTTGAAATGCGATTTTTTTTTTTGCTCCCTGCATAATCGAGTAATACCAAACTAAAACACAGGAAGCCAATCAGGAAACCACTGAAGCTGCCCACCATGAAGCAGCAAGGACTTGGGCTGTGCACCAGGGGCCTGAGACTGCGGCTCCCGGCGCTGCTGAGCCCGCGGCCCCTGTCATGAGATGTGTGGCCAAGAGGGCCCTGAAGGCTGTGGCAGGAGGCTGGGCCCGGCTGCAAGAGCGTCAGCCAGTCAGCCCAGCGCCAAGGGAGCCTGGGCCCACCCGGGGAGCAGTGGGCGAGGGCTGCTGGGGGAGGTGGCTGTGGAAATCCACGCCTGGGGGAGAAAAGAGCGCGAGAGACTGAGACAGAGGCCCCTGGGGAGGGAGTGGGCTACGCAGGCCTTGGGGCAAAGGGCATGAGCCCTGGGGACACAGGCTGGAGCGGGAGCCCAGTCCCAGCGACCTGCCTCACCTGCGGCTCTGGCGTAGCCGGCCACCGCGCCGTCCACCAGGCCTGCGTACAGACTGCACGGCGAGCCCGCCAGGCTCATGACTGTGGACCTCTCGGGCGCGAAGAAGTGCTGGAGCCTCACTTTCTTGGAGCCTTGGCTGCTTTTGTACACGGAGATGCTTTAAAAGGAAGACATAAGCTCAGAAACATAACTGCTCATCGTGGAAGAGTCGAGTGACCATCAAGGCAAACGCATTTAACGCCTCAGCCCGATGCCCGAGTCCCGCCCGTCCTTCCCCGCTCCTGGACACCCTTGGTGGCGGGATTTTAAAAACATCCCTGACCACTTTCATTTCTTTCTTTTATTTTTAAAGAGACATTCTGGCTATAAAAAAAATTCAGTGCTTCCTGTATATTTTAGAACTTCACATCAGGAAGGCAATTTTACCTTTCCTCCTCTGAACAGTGCCAACTTGCAACATGATTATAACACAGAATACGGCTGTTTTATTCCAAAATGTAATGAGCGATGTGCTTCTCAGAAGCACTAATAAAAATGCAACATTTAAGTGGCAAATAGTGTGGCACTTTTTCCCCTTTTAAATAAATACCATTTCTCTTTAGAAATTTCCCAGAATAACTTCCATGGGCCCAACTCACTGGTTATTTAAAAGCACAAAAAAAAAAAAAAAAAAAAAAAAAAAAAAAAAAAAAAAAAAAAAAAAAAAGAACTTGTATGGAAAAAAGAAAAGAAATACAAAAGAAAAAAAGAGAAAGAATTTTATAATTTATTAAATAATAAAAAAATAAAATCCAAGCACAGTGACCCCCAGAACGTCCAGTTCCCAGGCACATGGCTCCTGACACGGAGGCCGACGCCCTCTCCGCCCGGCCCCCACACCTGTGTGGGCGCAGCGGTGACGGCCCTTTGCGACTCGGGACGGCCCTACCTTCCCTCCTCCGCCCCTACGCAGACGGTGGGGGTGTCGCCAGCCCTCGAGGCGGGGGGCTCGGGGTCCCAGGCGGGGCCGGGCTCTCTGCGCTCCTCCTCGGCCGGGATGTACACCATGCACAGGATGCGGGACTCCACGTTGAAGCACTCGATGACCTTGGGGCCGGAGTTTTGAAACGAGACGATGGCGATCTGGCCCATCTGGTTGGTGCAGCTCCCGATCTGCGCCAGGGAGTCCAAGGGGAGGGGATGAGCGTGGGGGTTGGGGGCTTCCACGGTCCGCGGACCCCCGACACTCGGGGCCACACAGCGCCCGTCTCCACGGGACAGTCAACTCTCAGAAAGATCAGATGACGTTTAAACACACTGCCAACAGGGCCTGTTTTCCTTTTTTCAACATATGGAATTAGGTTTTCAAACATTTTTAATAAAAAGAGTATAACTATTAATTTTTAAAAAGTCACATTTATACACTTTAAAAACCATATACCCATCACTGTTCAAATGGTAAAGGCCTATTTATACACGATTTAGAGTCCTAAACAGATTAATATCCATTTTAAATAGCACTGATGTTTAACAGACCTTACCTAAAAACCTGAGTCCTTCAAATGAGAAAAAATTAACAGGAAAGCACCCTAAAGTGGATAGTTCATATTTAACATGTGATGAAGTGTGTGGCAGTATTTCTGTGTCTACGAACTTCCTATGTGTTTGAATTCTCACGCTGAGAAAACGTAGCATAGTCGGTTTCCCAACGGAATTGTTTTCTACGTGGCGAGGAGCCTGAGCCTTTGTGGACAGGCAGTGCTGGCTGGTTTCCGATGCTCAGTGATGTTTTTCTTTTCCGCCAGCTTCCAGGCTGTTGTTACAGTCCCTCATTCTCCCTGCTTCTGCTCCCAGCTACGAATAAACAATCCACTTCGGGCCTCTTGGGACAGGAGCCAACTCGCCCCGCCCCACACGGGCCTGCAGGGGGTGGGCACGACCAGGGACGAATGGCAGGTCCTCCCGCCCATGTGGAACACGATCCTCTTTCAAGATCGGAAACCCCCCAGGGGAACGAAGCCCTTCATGCCTGGGTTGGCAGGAAAGAAACACCAGCTCACTGGGCTGTTCTGTTTATTAACAATAACGAGAACACTAAGCAAGCAGGCACTCTGGCTGTGAGGAGGGGACGGTGGCCTGCTGCAGAGGATGCTGGGAGGAAAGTCAGGCGTGTCCGGAGGCAGCCAGGGGCCTGGAGGGCAGGTCTGAGGGGCCTCAAGAAAGGGCACACGAGAGACGCAGACCACGAGAGCCTCCTGGTTTGCAGGAACCAGAAACAGCTGCTGCAGTTGCAGCATGATTTCGGATGCCGTGTGTCATTTGGAACAGATTAATTTTAATTGCTAAGTTTCTAGTGAAAAAAAAGCTAGCCTTGGAAGAAGAAGGGGGAAAAATCCATGCAATTTAACCACCCAAATCGAAGAAACATTAAAATCATTCTCATAGTAGTTAAGTGTCTTTGGACTGAATTTAATCTGGTAAAAGTTTCAGATGAGAAAGAAAAGAAACTAACATCTTAGCTCCTAAGAATGCTGCATCTCTTCCTAAAGGAACCGGCTCCCTTTCAGGGGGAGTGTCCGCGTTCGCAAACACCCGCCGGGCTACTCGGCAGCTAACGGCAGCGCTCCCCCGGCGATGCACGCCTGCGCTGCCCGCCACGCCCACCGCGCCCCGGATTCTGTGAGCTGGCGTGGGGAGCGAGGGCGTCTTACCCACAGGAAGCCGTGCGCTGTGGAGGAGTCCGGCTGACCGTCCTTGCTCAGGCAGGGCTCGGGGTTGTAGGTGGCGCACTCGATCTGGAGTGGGGTGGAAGCGGACCTGAGAGGGGCCGAGAGGCCTCCAGGCCACACAGTCTGACACGGACTGACAACACGCTTCCAACACAGAACCGCAGATGTTCGGGCTCATCGCCGACAAAGACGAAAACGGGAGAGTTTGAAGCGTGGGTCTCCGAAAGCGGCACTGGAGCAGCAGAAACACCCGAGCACACCAGCCCCCACCCGTGTTTCGCTGTTGGGGCTCTCGTCGCCGCGCTGCTGAAATCAGCACGTCCCTCTCTCCCCTCCCGCCCCACCCCTCTTCCCCAGGGCCGGGCGGTGGGGCGGGAGGTGGTGGGAGCTGCCCGGGGCCCAGGCCACGAGTGCAAGCACCGGCCGGAGACCAGGAGCCAGAAATGGAACGTCTCTGTACGTTCCTTAAAGAAGACGTATCAACAGGTCGCGGGAGTCACTGCAGGTGCGTGGCCTGTTGTGCCTGAACCGGCGACACCACAGACGAGAGCAAGGCGCCACCCGGAGCCGGAGCGGCTTTGGCAGAGAGGGCCCGCGCTCCAAGCAGCCCCGAGAGCTCACGTGAGGACCCCGTGGTGGAGACCGACTGCCTGTCCAGCAAGAGCCTCACGAGCTGGCAAAGCGAACCAGTCTCCCTCGTGTGACTAGCCGTGCCCCAGCGTGGGACAGCTGCTTGGGGACGGCAGGGTCCTGCCCAGGGACAGGCCCCAAAGACGTGGGCTGACCCTTGTTGTTAGGTTTCAGACAGCTGCAATCTCCATTTATTTCTAAATAGATTACTACGGCTAACCCGGGAAGACAGCGTCCTGACTGCGCCCCTCCCGGACACCCTCCCATGAGACGGGGAAGGCGAGGCCCACAGTGGCGAGGGTGCCTGGGCCCCGCCACCCCTCACCTTGAACTCCTGCTGCTTGGCCACCATCACGGGCATGTGTCCCACGAGCAGAGGGTGCCTCTCCTTCTTAATCTGATTCCCTTCGTCCTCCACGCAGAACCAGCCCAGGTGGTTCTCCTCCTCTGCAAGGGGAGGCAGACAGAGATGAGCCCGGAGCGCGGCGAGCCTGCCCGGAACCCAGGTCTGCGTGGCTGGCAGGGCTCCCCTGTACAAGTCTCTAACGTCCCGTTCGCACAAGACCAGGGAACTCGATGTCCCGATTCTGGGAAACCGTGAACCCTTTTCTCACGGGGTGGTGCGGCCAACACCCGGGTGACGGTGACACCTCCCAGCGAGCGTTTCCGCAGCATGCCTATAGCCGAGGAAGCCACACGGCCTCTTTTCCTCTCCTCTCCCCATTTTCCTTCCAAAGCAACGGGGATGTTTAGATGCGAGTGCGAATCCCATGCAAGATGCCGAGGGAAACTTTCAGACACGGCGCAATACGATGGGATAAAGAAAGTACAATGGACGGACAAATATTTCACCGTCAAACATCAGCCTTGGCTCTGAAGAACATGGGACTGATCTCAGGATAAAAGGGAGCTTCTCTCCAGCGTGGGCGACCTCATTGGCTGAGTCTCTCTGGACCACACCCTGACAAGCCTCCACGCAGGAAGGAAGAGACGTGGGGCCATGTGACTACTTCCGCGTCCACTGAGCAAGTGTTCTGTAGGCTGCCCTTCCATGTGGGCAGTATGCTCCTCCTGCCACTAATCAGCGCTCGCCAGGGTGATGACCTTCACCCCAACCACGGTTTCTCCTCTGTATCCCATATTCAGTTAGCAAGTCAGAGCATCTCATCTAGAAGAGAATTTTACATGCACACGGGCATCCCGTGTGTTCTGAGTGATCTGTGAGTTTATAAGTGACATAAATTATACATCTACGTCAAAACAGCAAGGCTAAAGGGAGGTAGGAACAAGGAAATCATCATGAAGTCACACCCATGGTTTATCTCCAGTACTGGGAGGGCCTTTGGCCACCTGCATTTTGTGACTCAGGGGTGAGGAAACAGGCCGAGATGGACCACAACATTCCTTCCCTCTGGAGACAGACCCACACCGGGCCTGCATCAGCCCCCGACTCACATTCTAGACCTGACAGGCTTACCCTGGGTTGAGCAGCCTCAACTAATAAACTGATATTAATTTTTTTTTTTTTTTTTTTTTTGGTGAGACAGAGTCTCACTTTGTTGCCCAGGCTGGAGTACAGTGGCATCATCATAGCTCACAGCAGCCTCAAACTCCTGGGCTCAAGTGATCCTCCTGCCTCAGCCTCCCAAGGAGCTGGGACTACAGGCATGTGCCACCATACCCTACTAATTTGTTCTATTTTTAGTAGAGATGGGGGTCTCACTCTGGCGCAGGCTGGTCTCGAACCCCTGACCTCAAGTGATCCTCATGCTATGGGTGCAGGCGTGAGCCACTGCACCCGACCTAATATTAATGCCTTGTTAGAATAAAAGCTATGGTTTGCTCCTGCAACCCTAAATTATGACATGAACTTCTTAAAAATCACTTGTGCTGGGGTTGATCTTTCCCACGTAAAAACATTCTTCCAGGTTCATGGATGGATCCATCGCCGAGTTCAACTCTTAACCCTCAGTCAGCCATGCAGAGCACACTCACCAAGGGCAAGTTTGGCCGTCTGCAGGCTATTGGTCCAGGATTCTTTGATGGCGGGGGTAAAGGTGTTGAAGACAGCCGTGAAGAAGGTGGGTCGCCCGGACCTGCCAGGAATAATAGACAAGCCTTCGTGCTTTGTAATATGAAATTAAATTACTACGTTTTGCCTGTCTGATAAAATCGACAAACAAACAAACAAAAAATTACGTATCATGACAAAGAACCACTTTTTTCCCCAGCATTGGCCAAGCAGGTTTTGTTTTAAAGTCACCACTAACTTGTCCTGCTTCCCTGGGAGCTGTAACTGGATTCTGCAGCAGTCCGCAGCTCTGATCTCCTCTTCTTTCTTCAGAATAAGTCTTTGTAAACCTGAGGTCCAATCATGGGCTACTGACTGGTTTAAGTTCTGCAAAGAAAATAAATATGTACATTTTTAAATAGCTAAAAAAAAAAAAAATAGGACCAGCCTAAAAGCAACGTAACACAAAAAACTCAGGGAGAACAAAACAATCAAACAAATAACAAAACACCTCATATCTGATTGTGAAAAAGAAACCCTGGGAGTCAGATCACACTGTGACATTGTGGTGTGGCAGAGACATTTCTCAGATAGAACTGATGCTCAAGTCTGCTTGTAAAAATGAAGAAAAGTTACCCTAATAGTTTTACCTTATCCAAGATAACAACAACAAAAAAAATGCACATCAGATCAGTTCTTACAACCACAATGAATTCTCACTTCTGGTAGAACTTGGAGATGGAGTCGCATATCCACAAAGATTTAGGAGTAAAAATAGAACTTAACTCAGACTGCCGCGACACTTACCTGGTAGTGTCCCTTAAGGCTTCCTATCAGCTGGCTGATTTGACCAACGACATTTAAGTCGTACAACAGGTTCTGTAAATCTTGATACAGCTGTCCCGGCCCCATGTAAACTTTGTCTGCAAAGTGAACAAACAAACAAGAGGGTACAAATGTGAAGCCAGGGCTGCTCTGACACTTGAGGGCACAGAACATCAAAGTAAATGCTAGTTACGTCTTTTTGTAAGTTGGGGGGACCAGAACTTTTAAAAAGTGGATATTTTCAAGCATTTAGTCATTTCCTTTCCTAACATTTATTTTGAAATAATTTAAGACTTACTGAAAAGTTGCAAAACTGGCACAAAGGGCTGCCTCCTGAATGCCCAGATCCCCTGGGGGTCAACCTTTTACGCAAACGTGGCACAATGTCAAAACCAGGAAATTATAGTGATATGACGCTATTAACTAAGCTGCAGACCCACCTCAAATTCCACCCATGTCCCCACAAGTGCCACTTTTCTAGCGCTGGATACAATGCAGGGGCCCACCCTGAGTTTACTTGTCACGTCCCCTAAGTCTCTTCCAATCTGGGAGAGTTCCTTGATCTCTGTTTGTCTTTCATGACCTTTTCATTTTCGAAGGATGCTGCTAAGCTATAGTATGTCTCACAGTGTGGGTGTGACTGACATCTTGTCACTTAAAGTATTTTTTAAACATTGTTGACGTAATAGCTGTTAGTAAGAGACACCTGGAAATAAATGACATTTAATCTGAACCAAATTTCCAATAACTGAGGTCATCCAATATTAACATGAGTCCTCAGTGATCTTTCCTGAAGATTTTAGGGGAATAGCAATTAAAAGAAAATAGCGAAGACTTGTCCACAGGAACTGTGGTTCGTGGAGTGATGCATGTCTGGGGGTCCACTGCTCCATCACCCCACAGAACAGCTCCATCACCCACAGAACAGCACCATCACCCCACAAAACAGCTCCATAACCCCAAAGAACAGCTCCATCACCCCACAAAATGGCTCAATTGCCCGCAGAACAGCTCCATCACCCCACAGAACAGCTCTATCACTGACAGAACAGCTTCATCGCCCACAAAATGGCTCCATCACCCACAAAATGGCTCCATCGCCCACAGAACAGCTCCATCACCCCACAGAACAGCTCCATCACCCCACAGAACAGCTCCATCACCCCACAGAACAGATCCATCACCCACAGAATAGCTCCATCAATCCACAGAACAGCTCCATCACTGACAGAACAGCTTCATCATCTACAAAATGGCTCCATCGCCCACAGAACAGCTCCATCACTGACAGAACAGCTTCATCACCCACAAAATGGCTCCATCGCCCACAGAACAGCTCCATCACTCACAGAACAGCTCTGCCCACAGAACAGCTCCATCACTCACAGAACAGCTCTGCCCACAGAACAGGTCCATCACCTACAGAACAGCTCTATCACCTACAGAACAGCTCCATCACTCCACAGAACAGCTTTATCACCCCAGAGAACAGCTCTGCCCACAGAACAGCTCCATCACCCACAGAACAACTCTGCCCACAGAACAGCTCTATCACCCACAAAATGGCTCCATCTCCCACAGAGCAGCTCCATCACCCACACAGCAGCTGTATCAACCCACAAAACAGCTTCATCACCCATAGAACAACTCCATCATCTACAGAACAGCTCCATGGCTCACAGAACAGCTCCATTATCCTATAGAACAGCTCCATTGCCCACAAAAACTCCCTGCTGTCCCTTTAGAGTAACCCTTGCCCTGGAAATCACCTCTTCTCCTTCCCTACAGTTTTGTCTCACAGTACTCCACATCTATCTTTAACACATAAGTAGTACACATGTGCCCGCATAGGTGTTCAACTAATGTGCCCTTGGTCAGAGAAACTACTTGGCTTTGGGGGAGAAGGGTCTAACTGAGATCACGGCAGCCTTTTCCCTTTGGTCATCAATGCCACACGCTAAGCACAGCACCAGCGCACAGCTCAGGGGAAGACAGGGCTGCACCTCTGCCCCTGCTGAAGCACACAGTTCCACGTTGCTCAGAATCGGTCTTTGAAACACGCGTGAACAAGTTGGAAGGGATGCCAACATCCTGGCAACTGTTTCTAAACTGGGTGTGCCAAGAATCTGACATTGTGCTTTAATTTGGAAAGCAAGTATTTCTGCCTCTACTAAATGTCTCTGTGAGTAACCACACGTTAAAATAGAAAACACTTTTATATTTAAACAAGTACTTCACGAGATATAAATTCTGTTGCAAAGCTAAGGTTAGAAAATTATTCAGTGGCAGCTGGGCGCGGTGGCTCACGCTTATAATCCCAGCACTCCGGGAGGCCAAAGAGGGAGGGAGGATCACTTGAGTTCCAGACCAGTCTGAGCAAGAGGGAGACCCTGTCTCTACTAAAAACAGAAAATTAGCCGGGCGTGGTGGCACACGCCTGTGGTCCCAGTTATTTGGGAGGCTGAGGCTGGAGGATAGCTTAAGCCCAGGAGTCTGAGGTTGCTGTGAGCTGTGATGATGTCACTGCACTCAACCCCGGGTGACAGAGTGAGACCCTGCCTCAAAAAGAAAGTTATTCAGTGGCAACGTTGTATTTTGCTATCCACATTTCCCCATTACGTAATCAGAAATCTGCGCTAGAGGCCTTTCCTGTCTCGGTGCCCTAATCTGCAGAACTGAGACAACAGCCCTTTCCTGTCTGCCTGCTCTGAAGATCAAATGAAACAGTGCAGTTCATAGACACAAAGCAGTCTGTGAACATGGCGCAGGGTACAGATGTGTGCACCGCATCTCACATCACACACGCGCGACTGTTGAATTACCCATCTTGTCGCGCTTCCTGAACCCCAACACCCCCGTTTAGGCTCTTCCTCTACTTGGACCACCACTGGCCTGGCCAAAACTTCATATTTCTATCTCCTTCTTTTCCATTAAAACATACAAGCAGGGCCACGGCAGCCAGACGGCCTCCCTCAGGAAAATGACCAGCTACTGGGTCCAAACTGTTCTGTCCCATCCAAATAAGTGGTCGAGTTTTAGGGAACACTGAGCCAGTGGCTAATGGAGTAGAAGTTTTACACCTGTTGGTTATTTCACTGCTTTCTGCAGTGAGGTGACAGGGCCCTGTGGCCACTGCAAGTACGGGGGCTGGGACCTCTCTGTCCACCCAGAGGGAGAGAGAGAGGGCAGATGGGGCAGGAAGAGGGAACCCGGCCACTGTGGGGCCACGCAGGAAGCAGTGATGGAGGAGGACAGGCAGCTGGCCGGCGTGCTCCTGGGCAGAGGGGCCCCAGGAACCGGGAAGGAGGATAGTTCTCGGGAGGGAACGTGCAGGAAGGGACGGCTCTCACCGACTGAGTCCTACTGGCTGCTCCTGCCGGGCCGGGGGGCAGCCTTGAGGACGTGGATGTGACCGTCAGTCCTGTCTTACAGCTCGTGGGGCATAAATGGTGTCACCTGTACATCACGGTGACCACAGTTAACGGCACTGTGTCGAGTGCTTGAAAATCGCTAAGAGTAGATTTTAAGGTTCTCGACTCGAAAACAGTGATAGGTGAGGGAGGGGTACATCAGGCAGCTTGATTTAGCCATCCCACGGTGTGTGTATTTCAAAGCACATTGTACACCATAAACGCAGACAAATTTTATTTGTCACCTGAAAAGTGATTTTTAAAAGAATGTGTGTGTGTGTGTGTGTGTGTGTGTGTGTGTGTGTGCACTGCAACTGATGTGAATCTATCAAGGGACGTTTTTCCCCAGTGGATTACAGAATCTTCCCTGCTGAGACCAAGGGCAATTTCTCTGCCTTCACCAACACGAAGATAAACCGAAGCCTCACGTTTGGGCCTGGGCATCAGACACGGCTCATAAGACGGCACTGCTCTGGGTCAGACGGACATGGGACAGCAACACAGGACACCCTCGTGGCAAGGCCAACGTGTAATACCAGGGAGACCTTCTCCATTCTCATCTTTAGGAAATAACAAAAAGCAGAACACAGTGTTTTTCAAATGCTACTTTCAGTTTAGGAAATACCTTTTTTTTTTTTTTTGGCCAAAATGTATTGACAGATTAAAAAAATACGCAAATTGGATTTTTGCTGGAGCTGACTTGCAGCCAGCTGGTTGCAGGTCTCTATTCTGAGTCGTGGGAGCAGAGCTCCCTGCCCACCACGTCTCTGCAGAAGGGCTTCCCGAGCCTTTCTCACGGCACTGCTCCTGTTTCCATGGAAATCCCTGCAACTTGTTTGGAGATTCGGGGTTTGTCAGCTAAATGGAATCTTGTGTGGCAAACAAGGAAGGGACTGTGTGGCTGAATCAATAGCCACGGCAACCATAAAAAACCGGGGGGGGGGAGTGTCTCAGCGAGCCTGTATTTCCCCAGTCTCAGGGCGTCTCCCGGGAGACGTGTCCAGGCACGAGGGGAAGGACTGTGATCCCTGGGGCGCTGGCCCGGGAGCTGCAGACTTGCACAGCGTGAGTCAGCCTCCACCCGGCTCCTTTCCACAGGGCTCCTCCTCCTCAGAGCAATGCGGGTTTCCGGCTGCAAACGCCAGGCTCCCACTGAGCTCCCTGCAGAGCTCCTCTCCTTCCCCACCCTCCCCACCCTCCTCAGCGCAGGGCCCTCTCTGGTCTCCTGCAGGACACCGCAGGCAAGGCCGGTGCTCACAAACAAAACACCCTTTTCCTTTCAGTTCATCAAAAGTCACATTTCCCTAGCGGCGGGAAATAGAGTTCAAATCTGAGACGACATTTTTCTGCAAGCACATTTTTCAGCGTATGACATCATACGGTGTTGATAACCACAGGCACAGGGGCACACAGCAGGTCCTAGAACTGGACCACCCCGTGACTCAAGCTACGCCCGCCAACACTGCTCCCCCACGGCCCACACCCGCCCCTGGGTAGCCATTCCCATCTGTGTCCACGGCAAGAGGCGGAGGGTTCCCGCTACTGGCTGCAGCTTGGTGCTGACAGATGGGCAGCGTGGGCCCGACGGCGCACAGACCAGCTGACCCTCTGCCCCGGGTGGGCGTGGACAGGCCAGTGCCCAGTGCCACGCGAGCCCACAGACATGGCGACTGCCGACCACACCCGTAAAGGCAAGGCAGCAGCAGACTCTGCCAGCTGAGGCCTGAGGACAGCCCCAGAGAATGCAAACTTGAGTTCCAGCTTCACATACACACAGAATCAGCAAATGTTAATTACTTTTTCCAAAAGGTGTATTTTTTTAACCTAGAAGGCATTTTAAAGACCGTTACTCCCAATACCATCCCTTTCACAGCTCCCAGCTGAAGAGCAGCCGCAGGGCCAAGGGAGCAGGCACTGGGCCAAGAGCCTGAGGGAACATCTGGTCCCAGGGCGGCGCCTATGGTCTGTGAGCTCAGGACCCCAAATCGGTGTCACCTGGACCCCAGATTTAGGTACTTGGTGGCCTCTGGGCCTCGGCACACCTGCTGTCCAAATAGCACCTCCAAAGTAACAAGTCACCACACACTTGCAATGGGTGAATCCTACTGAACGTGAATGCCATAATTTAAAAAGACACCTGCACTCGAATGTTTATAGCAGCACAATTCACAATTGCAAAGATGTGGAAACAGCCCAAGTGCCCATCAACACATGAGTGGATTAACAAAATGTGGTATATGTATACCAGGGAGTACTAGTCAGCTATAAGAAACAATGGTGATCTGGCACCTCTTGTATTTTCCTGGTTAGAGCTGCAACCCACTCTACTAAGAGAAGTATCTCAAAAATGGAAAAACAAGCACCACATGTACTCACCAGCAAATTGGTATTAACGGATCAACACCTAAGTGGACATATAGGAATAACATTTATCGGGTGTCGGGCAGGTGGCGGGGGGAGGGGATGGGCATATACAAATATAATGAGTGTGATGTGCACCAACTGGGGGATGGACACACCTAAAACTCTGACTGGGGTGGGGAGGGCAAGGGCAATATATGTAACCTTAACAGTTGTACCCCCATAACATGCTAAAAAAAATGAATAATAATATTCATTGAGCACCTACTGCATGCAAGCTGCAGAGTTAGAAGGGAAACCAGGTGACATTAGCAGAAGAATTAACTAATTAATTTCAGAGAAAGGCCCTCACATACTCATCAGGTTATCTTAATTTCTTAAAATACAGGCATCATAATAATAGGTCACACTGGATGTCCTGGTGCTCCGCCGTCAATGTCGATAACAGACGAGGATTGGGTATGTTCTGCCGGAGGCGTGGGTTCGACCCAGAAAACTCGGCAGCACCAATCGATGGCAGAACAAACACATCCCCTAAATTCTCTATGTGGGCCAGTGTGGAAAAGGATGCCCCAGGAAAAACTGCCTTCCCTGAAGTTGCATCTGTGTGTTTCCATAGAGACATGATAAAGAAAAAAACCAGTGCAAGTCTGCAAAACAATCACATTACGTTTTAAAGTCTTTCCAGAGTCCCCTTAACTTAGGACATGATCAAAGAGTTCTCCTCGAATTCAGAATGAAGGAAAAGATTTACTCTTCAGCGGAACATATTACTCTGAAATAGACAACAGAACTGGCCAGGACCCGCCATTTCCCCCTTTGCCATGGCTGAAGGAAAGCCCATGGCAACACCCAGGCCCACATGGATTTATCAACGCACTTCGGGTTCTTTCTTCCATATATTTTAAAAATTGGGTGAATCGTCCTGCTTTATGCTTTTTCATATTGCTGACTCTAATTTTATTCTAAGTTAGGTCAGTATAAATGACAAATTAAAAGATGAATAAGAAAATACAATGTTGCATGTAATATTAATACATTATATCTACCTTATGGATCAAAGTTATCCTTAGCTATTTGAACACAGTAAGACAACCATAATTACAAATACATGGTAAGGTTGCTGGCACTATAAAATACGCAAGGGAATTTTTGCTCACAAAACCAAGACATAAACTTGATTAGCAATCAATATTTCCAAATAAGTGAAAAGGATTTCAAAAAACTTTTAACGAGACATTCAATTTGCCCTTGGATAAAATTTTAATGAATCATGTCAGCTTGAAAATTCATTTCTCTCTCCTTCCCTTCCTCCCTCCCCTCCCAAACCACCCCTTTGTAGTGCCTCACTTCGAAATCTGGGTTTCAGTTTGGCATTTTGGTTGCTAATTGAGAAGGTTGATAAAGATGCACACTACTTTAAACAGGCATATGACGTAGCAGTCAGCGATTGGAGAGATTAAGAACTGAATAACAATAACACGGTCCAAGAATCACCTCGCTAGGCAGATTGCCAACCTGTTAACATTAGGAAAACAAGAAAAGTAAAAGATCCCACAGCAAATTGGACCTAATACTCACTACAGGGTGAACACACGTGCCCAGCTAGAAAGGTGAAAAGTCATAAATGCCGCTTTCTCGACTCCAAACAGATCAGAGACAAAATAATCTGAAAAGTTAATGCTCTTTTAACACATAAAAAAAGTTTACTGGAAGTTCCTGTTCATTGTATTTTAAGTGTTCCATAATTCAGGGGCAGGCAGAGGCCCTAACGCCAAAAAGTGAATAAAACTAAGCCAGTCTTTATTTGGATTAAAAGAGAGAGAGAGAGAAGAAAATTATTTTTACACTAAGATTAAAATCTATAACGTGAACAGTATTCAGTAACGATAACTATAAATATAATAATTATGCAATGCTAAAACATTGCCCAAGTATTTTCACATCTTTCTCTCCTTCCACCTTGGGAGGCTCATGGACAGGAGCTACCTTCGTGGGGAAACCGAGGTACAGAGAGATTAAAGTAGCTGCCCGGCAGTGCGGTGAGTGGGCAGCAAAGCCGAGCGGTAAACCGAGGCATGAGTGCTGGCGGGAGATGCAGGGCAGAGAGCCCAGAGCTGGGGAGGACAAAGACACCCTGAGTGACCAACATGAACAAACGAGTCACTTACGTGGCTTCACGTTGGCACCCACCGCCAGGCTCTCGGGCGGGTGTGCGATGGGGAACCTGCCATGCTCGCCCGCGCCGTGGCTGGCGCGGTGCTCCATCACCTCCACGTGGCCCAGGGGGACGCTCCACTTGAGCAGGTACCTCTGGCTGGCCACGGCGCTGCTCTCCTGCAAGGAGCTAGAACAGCCAGAGGTCACCCCGTGAATAACTGTGTGAATGAGCTATGACACTCGGTGTCCTTTGGATATTCGAGTGAGAGCATTTTAATGTTGAATTATCTGGTGTTTGACTTTCTCGTGAAGTCACCATTCGGAGCCGCAATGATTAGATGAGTGAGGGGAGCTTCTTGCTGGAGTCCAGGGGGGACTGCACAGCAACGTGGCTCCCCGGAAGGACGAGGGTTTCCAGAAAAGCTTTGAGGGAGGAGGCTGGACGCCTGCTGGTGACTGATGAACAAAGGTGGTCCGGCAGTCTAGAGAGCTCCACTGATGGGACAAACCTTCTGTGCTATGTGGACTAGCATTCTCTGTTTCATAAGAGTTAACTCTAAAACTCTTTCTCTGCTCTTATATGGTCACATGAAAATCACTGTAATGGAATTCAATCATACTATTATGTTCCATGATTAAAATATTTAGGCCAGGCATGGTGGCTCAAACCTGTAATCCCAGCACTCTGGGAGGCCTAGGCAGGCAGATTGTTTGAGCTCAGGAGTTTGAGACCAGCCTGAACAAGAGTGAGACCCGTCTCTACTAAAAATAGAAAGAAATTAGCTGGACAACTAAAAATATATACAAAAAATTAGCCAGGCATGGTGGCACATGCCTGAAGTCCCAGCTACTCGAGAGGCTGAGGTAGGAGGATCGCCTAAGCCCAGGAGTTTGAGGTTGCCATGAGCTACGATGACACCACTGCACTCTAGCCTAAGTGACACAGCAAGATCCTCCAAAAAAATAGAAAGGAAGGAAGGAAGGAAGGAAGGAAGGAAGGAAGGAAGGAAGGAAGGAAGGAAGGAAGGAAGGGCTAAAGTGTTACTCATTTTCTTGATTTATACCAAATATGAATATATCCAATTTAATCATATAAAAAAATGCTTACCAAAAATACATGTATAGAGAATCAGGTATAAAGAATTTAAACAATTTAAACTGTAGAATGACTTAAGATAGTTATTTTTTAAACTCAATTTAGTTTCTAGCTCTAGCATCAGCCTTGTTTAAAGAGCGAATAAACCCACATATATCTAGTTTCCACCAGCAGTGACCTGTGGTGTACACTGAACCCGTTTTAAAAACACCCTTGTTTGTGACAAGGTTTCCTTCAATTGCTAAGTTTCAGCCCAGAAATCAGTTTAGCTTGAACCAGAGAATCCACAGTCACCCCTTGTGCTGGACACAAACCCGCCCAGCGTTCCGGGAGGGCAAAGTCCAACGCTGCGGCCTACGCGCGAGTGACGGGAACGGGCAGTAACACTGCGCGTTTCCTTACGGGAGTGCGGACGGCAAAAGTCAAAACGCTGCGGGCCCTACGGGGCTGACGGACGGGCAAAGTTTCAACACTGCGGTCTTACCGCCGAGCTTTGAGGAGGGCAAAGTCAACGCTGGGCCCTACGGCGGCTGACGGGACGGGAAAGTCCAACACTGCGGGCGTTCCTCGGGGCGACGGGGAACGCGGGCCAAAAAGTTTTCCACGCTGCGGCGCCCTAACCGGAAGCTGACGGGGACGGGGCAAAGTCAAACCTGGGCCCTACCGGCGAGTGCGGGAACGGGCAAGTAACGCTGCGCGTCGACCGGGGCTGACGGGGAGGGCAAAGTCAAGCTGCGGTTTCCTTACCGGGGAAAGTTGACGGGGACGGGCAAGTCACGCTGCGCCTACGGGGGCTGGAGGGACGGGCAAAGTTTCAACGCCTGCTGGTTCCTTACCGGGAGCTGACGGGACGGGCAAAGTCAACGCTGCGGCCCTACCGGGAAGCTGAACGGGGAACGGGGCAAGTCACGCTTGCGGCCCTTTTTTAACCGGGAGGTGACGGGACGGCAAAGTCACGCGGGCCTACCGGGAGCTGAGGGGGACGGGCAAAAGTCAGCTGCGGGCCCTTACCGGAAGCTGACGGACGGGCAAAGTCAACGCTGCGGCCCTACCGGGAGCTGACGGGACGGGCAAAGTCAACGCTGCGGCCCTACCGGGAGCTGACGGGACGGGCAAAGTCAACGCTGCGGCCTACCGGGAGCTGACGGGACGGGCAAAGTCAACGCTGCGGCCCTACCGGGAGCTGACGGCGGGCAAGTCAAACGGCTGGCGGCTACCGGGAAGCCTGACGGGAACGGGCAAGTCCAACCGCTGGCGGCCCTACGGGGAGCTGACGGGGACGGGCGTCAACGCTGGCCGGGCCTACCGGGAGTGGACGTGACGGCGGCAAGTTCCAACCGCTGCGGGCCCTACCGGGAGCTGACGGGGACGGGGCAAGTCAACGCTGCGGGCACCCTACCGGGAGGTGACGGGACGGGCAAGTCACGCTGGGCCCACCGGGAGGCTTTGAGGGAGGGCAAAGTCACGCTGCGGCCCTCCGGGAGCTGACGGGACGGGCAAGTCAACGGCTGCCGGCTTACGCGAGCCTGACGGGGGAGGGGGCAAAGTCCCAACCGCTGCGGCCCTCGGGGAGCTGACTGTGACGGGCAAAGTCAACGCTGCGGCCCTACCGGGGCTGACGGGGACGGGCAAGTCAACGCTGCGGCGGCCTACGGGGACGCTGACGGGCACGGGCCAAGTCACGCTGCCGCGCCTACGGGAGTGGACGGGGACGGCAAAGTCAACGCCTGCGGCCCCTCCGGGAGTGACCGGGGGGCAAAGTCAACGCTGCGGTCCTTACCGGGAGCTGACGGTGGTGCACATCAGCACGTCGTTCAGCATGAAGAGGCGGCGCTCTTTGGTCTTGATGACTTCTCCCCTGTCGTTGAAAACCGTTTCTATCATGTCATCGGATCTGATGAGGTATCGGTTTCCGCTGCTGAGAAGCTGAATATTCAGAACAATGGTCAACTGAGTCACCTCAACTGAGTTGACGCAAACAAAGGAGGAGAAAAAGGTCTTGCAAAATAGGGAGTTGCTAGCATCAGGGTTTTATAGATGCTTTTCTTCAGGAGAGTCTGGATGCTCCCACTCACAGGCCCTGACGATGCAGAGTTCTGAAAGTAACTTCTAGAAACCGAGCGTTTCACAGGCATTGGGGTTTGCAGTTACTATATACGTGAAAGGAACCCCATTCCCCCTGTGAGCACTGTTTCTACAGAGTTGGCTCCTTCCTCTTTACCTGCCATTCCCCTCGACTGCCCTGACCACACGCCTCCCTCCTGGGCTTCCCTGCATTAAACGATTCAGGATTTACTGTGTTCCCCCCAAAATAAGACCTACCCATAAAATAAGCCCTAGCAGGATTTCTAAGCATTTGTGCAATGGAATCCCTACCCCGAAAATAAGACCTGGTGATGGCGTGGCTACGCAGCGCGTCTGGACAACCCGTGCATTTCGTCGCGGAGCGGTAAAGAACACGAGCAGCCCTTCTCATCCGCCCCATTGTGACAGCTACCATCCCAGGGGTCACGGAAAGGTGCGGCAGCCCCACCCACAAGGTCGGCTCCCTGTAAGGTCCCGGCCACCCTGTGCGTGCTGCAAGCTGAGGCTTTGAGGGGAAGTAACATCCCCTGAAAATAAGCCCTTTGTTTCTTGAGGAAACATAAGACCCTGTCTTATTTTCGGGGAAACACGGCACAACCCTATGTCAACTGGGAAAGGTTGTTAGAGGAAGCAATTACTTTGTAAATTTACTTTTCCCAAAGTAAGCATGATTAAGCAAGCATCTTAACTTCCTAGGATGTGCCACATTTTATTTCACTGAGCCAAACAAAACGCCGTCAGTTCTTTGGAAAGACGCTTCATATGGACCGATAAAACACCACGTCCTATAGAAGTCACGCTCCTCACCATGGTTTAGCTAACGGAGTCCTCAGCCCAGACAGTCCCGCAGCCTCTGATTCTACGTCTACACTGGCTGCATCCCTGGAGACGCCAGCCTCACCACTGGGCTCCTCTTGACCCATGAGTTCCCGGGATTGACGCGCCCTGCGCACATCTACGCGACAGTCACGATGCACCATCACACCTTCCCAAGCCTTGGGGTTCTCTGTCCCCGAGTGTACTCAGACATTCAAGTGCCAAGGGGAGCATGATTGTAAATACCGTGAACTACGCCAGGAATAGAACTGGATACAATTTTCTGCTTATAACGTTCCTACATAAATCATTCAGAGAATCGGGGAAAACCCTGTGGCTTAAAATGTGTTACCATAAAGTTCTCATCATTAAATTACTGAATATCATTGGGAGTTAGAAAATTAGTACTGCCGACAAAAATAAAAGGCAACTTCAGCAACATTAACTATTATCTGTAATAATTCAATACAGCTCATATATATTCGCATCTCCCTGTGGTCCGGGGCCCTAGGTGGACATGGCAAAGCCACACAAAATCAGAGCATGGTGGCAGGAAAATGACTTTGCAAATGCCAAGCTCAAACACAGCCCTGCAGAGGAAGTGGCATCCTCCTGCGTTTGTTTCACTTTATCGTGATCAATGCAGCACAGACTCTCCACATGTTGGTGCAAACAGAAATGTCTGCAAATATGCCAAGCTTTGATTGATTATTACTGTCTGAAATGAATGCAGTATTGTGAAAGTAAAATTAAGCTACAAGAGTTGCTCTTGACCTTTTGGGGGGTCCTGGATCCATCTGAGGATCTAATGCATCTACGAACCCCTTTCCTAAGAAAACCCAGACAAACTGTCAAGGGAATGATTCCAGACGTCTCCAAAGATTGGTTACGAGTGGATGAGTAGCAATGGCCTTATCAGTACAAAGCAAAAACAATTTCAGAATAGAATTGAAAAAAAAATCTGTGTCAACCTTGTTCAGGTATCTTTCATTGATGGCTTTCGCTATCTGCTTGATCTCACAGCGCTGGTCGGCGTCTCTTTTCCTTTCATTCAGCTTCTCCGCCAACGTCTCCAGCTCCGTCAGGGCCATCTGGATGGGCAGCCTGTCCGGGTGTCCCTTGGGCGTGTTCTTCAGCATGTCCTATGGGCGACAGGGTAGAGTGGCGAGGTCGCCACGTGCACGCCCTAACCCACGGCGAGTCACCGCCCACACGCCGATGCCTGGGAGGGCAGCAATGACATCGGTTATTCTGGGGAAAGATAGAAAATATTCTGGGGAAAGGATCACAAACTGAGTCACAGCTTGGCTGAACATCTGAGCAGCTCCCTCTACAAAAACAAAGCCCCCAAAATAGCTTTGTACAATAAAGAACACGCCAGATAGGGACATGGCACAATCTCAGAGATGTTTTGCTCTCTGTGACCACGTTCCACATCGTGATCAGATTGGTTTTCTCGAGTTGAGTCAGACAAGCAAACGCAGGCATAGATGGGTCCAGCTACTTTTTTTTTTACAAAACCTGTTTCCCGACATCAAGGGCGTGGCAGTTTTGCCGTGCTGACCGCTGTGCCCACGGTGTCACCCACACAGCAGGGGCTCCGTCTGGGCCTCCCACCCACCTGGAAATGGAGCCTGATTTTAGGGCAACCCGGCTACCCTGTAGGATGGTATGGTGGTTGATACATCACGCTACGTCAGTCTAAACCCACAGGATGTGCAGCTCCGGGCTGACCCGCAGGCACATGGTGACTCCAGGTGGCCGGGCGTGTCAGCGTGGGCTCGTCATCCTCACAGGTGCACCTGGGGCTGTGCGTGTGGGCAGAGGGGCGCCTGGGGGAACCCCACTCCTTCCCCTCGATTTTGCTCTGAATCTAAAACTGCACTGACAAAAATAATCTAGTTGTAAAAGAAAGAGGAAGCTGAGCTGCCTGTCTGTCCACCCCTGCAGGCTCAGATGGGCCCGAGGACATTCGGGGAGGGTGCAAGGCACAAAGCCACTATATGGTCACCAAAAAGATGGCACGAGGCTGCCCAACCCCACATAGACCCTGAAGAGCAATGACGGATGGTGTCCTTGTCACCTGGAGTTCACACAGAGCCCGTGCTGCCTGACTCGCTTCCCTCACGACATGCTGATGTGTGAAGGAGCAAGCGTGAATCTGAAACACTTCTCAGGTTGAATGTGGTTCTGCCCTCTCGCCCACCAATTTCTATGCGTTTGTGTATGACATAAGCAGCAATCAAATTCAACAATGCGCTCGTCATTCTAAACCTTCTTCTAAAAATCAGAAAAGAGCACTGCATAAATAAGCGAATGTTTCCAGGTTGGATAGAAAATTTAAACTACTCTATACATACATTTGTCTTCCTGGGAGTGGCATCAAATTCTAACAAGGCAGAAAAGGATGATCTTGAATCTCATTCTGGCACCAACACAGTGTACTGGTGGTGCCCACGCCACCGTGATCCGAGCGTGACAGATGGAAACCAGGGCCCGAGGTCTGGCCGAGCCTCGGGCCGACCTGCCCGGCCGCAGCCGCATGAAGAAAGAGGAGAAGTTCCTTATTGCCGTTGTTACCAGAAATTGTCATTTAACACTCACCTTTGTACAAAACTGGGGGGGGAAAAGTTAGTTGGGATAAAGTAAGAAAGAGACACGGGGCAGATGAGGGTCCTGGACCCCACGTGAGAAACCCACCGTCCCAGCCACGCCGAGGTGTGCCAGCCCGCCGCACCTGCGGGACAAGGTGGGCCAGGCCCCGAGAGCAGAGGCCAGGAGAGGCACGGGAGATGGAGCTGGTTATAGAACCTTCCCCACAGCAGGTCTGACAGAACCTTAAGCCATGTCCCGACATAGAAAGGAATCCAGTCCCGATTATAACCAGCCTTCACCTAAACATAAACTTCCAACACATAAAAAGAAAAACACAGATGTCTAGACAGTGTCTCCTCCACTCGCCGAGACAGACCGTCTCCCCTCAGGAAACGCGCTTTCACTCTGCACCCTCCAACTTCACTCGCGATGAGGCCCTCGCGCACTCGCCGAGTGTCTGTCACCTCTCCGTGGGTCGGGCCACGGCCTGCGAGCCCCCAGCCGGGAGCCCAAGGACTGGGGGCTCTCCAAGCCCAGCCGTGGACTGCACCACGGCGTAGGCTCCGCCACCACCGCCCCTGCGTGCTCGGCACTGACTGGAGAAATCAGAGACTGGCCAGAGCTGCGCTTGCGCCCCAAGCCCGCCCTCCGCACAGAGGGAAGAGGCGCCTTCCTCGCGGCTCCACGCCAGGCAGGGCACGCTCAGGACGGCCATCCAGGCGCTGCCAGGAACAGCCTGCAGCTCCGGCCCACGAGACCTGCGCGTGGAGCCCGCACCCCCGCCCTCACCCCTGACCCAGACAGGAGTCAGGCCAGGGGGCTCCTGCCACGCGGACCGGCACGAGCTCTTCCCAAAGGAGCCGGCAGTGGTGAGGCTGCGCAGGCCGCGACGGCCCCTTACCTGGAGCAGGAGGATGAACTGCGGGAAGCGCTGGATGGGCCGCATCAGCAGGCTGTAGAGCGTGATCCGGTCGGGGCTGGCCTCCTGGCACTGCTGCGGGGGGGCGCAGGGCTCAGCGGGCCGCGGCCCCATGACCCGAGACGGTCGGGCAGGGACCCCAGCCACCCGAGAACCCACCACTCGGCTCTAGCTGGAGGAAATGTCACCAGATCCCGCTCGGAGTGCCCTCTGCACCTGCTGAGGGAGAGCTGGCTCCACTGCTCTGGTGGCCGCTCCAGGGAGGGGCCGGGTCTCACCACCTGGGCTTGGCGCCGGGCGGATTTGGGGGTGTCCGGGTCTGTGTTCTGCCCACGGTGTGCCCAGGGGAGACGGCCGCCTCTCCCCAAGGCAGCAGGTGCTGAGTGGGGCTGGACTGTGGCTGCCTGAGGCCGCCAACCTGGGGCTGCACCTGGTGTCCGGCTCCCTGGGCTAAAGGGGCAACAAAGACCACAGAGGCCACCGCCCAGCATGCCCCGGCCCTCGGCTTACCCGCACCCGGCTCCCTGAGGCTCAGGCCCCCAGGGCTGCGAGGCGGGACCAGAGCTCGTCTCCCGAGGCCGCTGGCAGGCTGAGGAGCAGGTGCTGCGGCCACACCGTGGGGCTAAAGCAAGTCCTCAGAGGACATGCATGGTCAGCGCAGCACCCGTTTTCTTTCCCTCGGAGGAGGAAAGGCTGCCATAGCGAAAAGCCACGGCGTCTGCAACTCATGCGGTAATGGGGACCTAGTCCCTGAGCAAGCCCGGATGGGCCAGGACTCTGCTCAGCCAGAGTGGGAGCCACCCAGAACCACCCTACTTGGTGGGAGAGGGGAGGGAAACGCTGCCCTGGGCAGGGAGACGTGCCCTGTGGGCACTGGCCCAGGTAGCAGCAGTTCCCAGGAATTCAGCCCAGGGGCAAGAAGATACTTTGTCCCAGCGCTTTATAATGCAAACCAGGGTCTCCCACAAAGGAGCCTCGCTGGGCACCTGGCCATGGGCTTGGACACGGGAATTCAGTCTGGCCCTCAGCCCAGTAACCGGCCCTCTCACAGCCTCTCAGGGGCCTGGGGAAGCCCTGCCGCTCCTAGTGGGGTGACACGCCCCTGTGTCGGAGAACGGACCCAGAGGAAGACTACGGCTCTCTCTCGCCTCACCTGAGGCCAATCTGGAAGCGAGAAGTTGGGCTTCTAGTATTCCTGACTTTACACTGAAGGTCAGGAAGGAAAAGGCAACTTTGGGAGCTGATCTTCACATTCTTTGTCTTTTTTTTTTTTTTTTTTTTTTTGAGACAGAGTCTCACTCTGTCTCCAGGGCTAGAGTGCCGTGGCATCAGCCTAGCTCACAGCAACCTCCAACTCCTGGGCTCAAGCGATCCTCCTGCCTCAGCCTCCCGAGTAGCTGGGACTACAGGCATGTGCCACCATGCCCGGCTAATTTTTTCTACATATTTTTAGTTGTCCGGCTAATTTCTTTCTATTTTTAGTAGAGACGGGTTCTCCCTCTTGCTCAGGGTGGTGTTGAACTCCTGAGCTCAAATGATCCTCCCATCTCTGCCTCCCACAGTGCTAGGGTTATAGGAGAGAGCCACTGCGCCCAGCCTTGACGTTCTTTCTGTCTACTTGTCTACACGGTGTGCAAATAAAAGCTGTTTTCAAAAAGCTACGATGGCACCTAAAATTCCTCTGCATTTCTGCACTAACCCAACACCTACAGCACTGCTGGCACCAAGATCTTTATAGCGACATTGCGCATTTAGGGTCGAGACGTGGTAAAGGGTGATTACAAAGTTATTTGACTTGGAGCTTCAGAGGGCATTAAAACCAAAATGCAAAACAAAAGAAAAAAGAACAAAAGAGACTTACCTTCAGAAACTCCAGGAAGGCGGGCTTGGTGGCGCACGTCTTCTTGAGCACGGCCACAGCTGTGCTGAAGTTGTTCACGTACTCGCTGTAGGCGTCCAGGACCATGGACTTGGAGAACTGAACACAGGAGATTGAGGGCGAGCAGTCACGCACGAGCCCAAACATTCCCTTTTCTGATTTAAGAGAGACGGTTTTAAACCTGCCCCCAAAACACCCTCCCAGCCACTGCGGCAAACTTTATCACAACAAACTTTATCACGGCCGACCTTTCCTTATAGGCCCCTGGGAACTGCCCAGAGGGCTGCTGCATCGTTCTGGGGCGCCAGGGTACTTTAGGGCACCCTGGTTCGAAACCATGGTAACTGGGGGTAAAGTTAAGAATGTTCCTGACTACAGAGAAATAAAGACGACGACTGCAGACAAGCTTCTGTAAACCCCTGCCCAACCTCCCTTTGTGGGTTCCAATGCCAGGGCTCCAGCTGAGACCGTCCAATAATTGTAATAAAAGGGCTCCCGGTGGTCCCCACGGGACCTGAGAAACCAGCAGGAATCCCCTGCCCCGAAGGGCACCAAAGGGGAGACCCGCCATCCAGGCCGAGGCGTGAGGCCCCACACACGCTCACTTCCTAAAAACACAGAGGTTTCAAGAGGCAGAACACTTGTCCTTGGTGTTAATGTTCAGGGAAAAGCTCATCCCATGTGACACTCCTGAGAAACCGCAAGTCCTCTGGGATGGATGGACGGACGGACAACAGCGTCCGCAGAAAGATCTCGTGGGACTGTCACTGAGGGAGGAATGTTTCCCTCTAAATTATGTGTCTTCTCAAAAAAGATTTTTTCCCATTTTAAAAAATGTTGGTGAGGTAAATATTTAAAGAAGAGAGACAAGTTGAAGCTAATATATAAAATAGCCCAAAAATGCTATACCAAAATAAATATCCAATATTTCTTTTTGTTTGTTTTTCATAAGGATCCATGAAGGGCACTATGCAAATATCTCAGCAAAAATTCTATGTTATGCCCAAAACATCCTACCACTTACATACTTCCTCAAGTGCACATATAAATGATTTAGAAAATAAAAAAAATTTTCGTATATCATTATCACCATGTCCGTTTAGGTATACGCCCACTTTAAAAAAAACTTGCAAGCTGATATCCCTTTGATAACATTATTATCTTAAATAGTTACAGAGACTAACCTGTTTTATCCATAACCTTCCACATCTAGAGAGAAATCTAACCAAAATACAATATCACGCTAGGAGCAGACATACAATGATCAAAACTGCTGCTGCAGACACTTGGCGCCGGGGGCTCCTGGGCAGCTGTTCCTCCCGACGGGAAGCACTGATGTGCTTTCCTGCGTCACGGCACAGGTCAAACACGCCTGCATCCACACAACAAAACACTCCAGACCACAGAGCCCGGTTTGAGGAAACGTATTTCCCCAGGAGGTGTCTTCTGTCGCTCCAGGCAACTCAGACAGCGGGGCCGAGACCGGGCAGAGCGCGGCCACGAGAGGCTGGCAGGTGGCGACCGCACCACGCCGCTCCGCCAGCAGAGTCCGCAGTCAGCAGCAAAAAGCGGGAATGTTATTGAACCATACATATTGCCTCCAAGACTTGATAATACACAGGTCTTAAATCTCTGCAGATAGCTGTCCCCCACTGAGCCTCTGCGTGTCCCCCTCGTCTCCCCACCCGACGTCCACCCGTCCTGTCCCCAGCGCACACGCATGGCCTGGCCCTAGAGAGAGCCACGTGTGCGCCGGCCGGCTCGCCCGTGCTCAGGGAAGAAAGCGCAGGCCGCACGTGAAGACTCCACCTGTGCAGGTGGAAACGCCAGCCTGAGAGCAGAGAACAGGACTGCCACGCCCACGGAAGCCGGGACGCGTTACCGAAGCCACGAAGACGTCCCCGATCATCTCCACGGAGTCCCACTCGGCCACACGGCTGGCCAGCGCCATCTGGAACAGCGAGTGGCACTGCAGGATCTCGCGGACGCGGTAGAACACTGTCCTCAGCTTCCGCTCGCTCAGCACCCGCGGCTCCGTCTCCGACAGCGGCTTCTCGTATTGCTAGGGCGAGACAGGCGGGGCGGCCGTCAGCAGGGTGGAAAAGGGCTGCCCTCTGCGTATCTGTTTCAAAGCACGTCCTGGCTTTGGGTGTCAACATACAGACATAGCGCTTAAAGTCTTTGGAGAGCGTCGCAAATCTGCGTATTTTATGGCTCATAAATATATATGTGCATAAAACATAAATAGGTAACAAAAGCATATATTTTTAAAAGGATGATAAAAACGTGCATATCACATGACACGACTCTCAGGCACCTCCAAAATCCTCTTCAGGGCATCCACGTAGTTCTTTTCGCTGTCAACAACGGAGCCCAGGATGTATCTTCTCACCACCTGTCGGGAAGCACAACGGTAGAAAACAACTTCCGAACACACACAGGTGAGTTTTACTTCTATGCTGAGGGTTGTTGGTAAAGAAGTTTTTTGTTTTAAACAGTAGATAAAGGCAACTTTCAGAGACCTTTAAAATATTCTATATGGTAGGTTAATTAAATAACATTACAGGTACAAAACATACTTTCTCTCATCAACACACTTATATTACACTTTAAATCTGAAATTATAAACTACTGGAGCAGGACAAATAAAATGATAGCACTTAAAACAAATCCATTCACTTATGTCACAATGATGACTTGAACTTATGTAATGACTGTGTTTCATGTGTTCAACACCCAGTTAGATGTTTCATATTTAAATTAAATATAAAAAACAGTTCCAGTCTTGGTCAATGAATGTTATTAACAAAACTTATCTAAAATCCTTATTCCAAAATTACAGAAAAACAGAAAGCTTATGGAAGGTGGAAGAACAGATTCTTTTTTTTAATCTTTGGAAAGATCTTTTAAGCATCCAAAGATCCACCTACGAGGCTAAGAATTTGGATGGAAAATTACTCCTGTCGGTCAGAGCAAAAGCCTACAATCCGAGGCGTTTGCGTTTCAGACACTGGCGCTGCTGTCTGTTGTGCTGCTCGCTGCTGAGGCACACGCGTGTGTGGGCGTGAGGCTGAGGCCGCTCTGCTCACCTCCACTGCCCAGCAAGCCACGTCTGCCCACCCACAGAAAACAGAGCAAAGCCTCCAATCCAGAGCACACGTTCATGTATGCACACACACACCTACATGCACCACACATGTGCACATGCCTACACGCCCCCCCACATACACATGCACCACACACGCACACACCTATATACGCATGCACGCATATGCAGACATGCATACACCTACACGCACCACAAACACATGCATACATGCACGCACCTACACACACAATACACATGCACACATACACACACACACACCACAGACGTACACACAGGCACAGACCAGGATAGCGCCAGGCAACCTGAGGCGCTGCGAGCTGCTCTGAAGCCTGCAGCGCCACCTGGTGGGCAAAGCGAGCACTTTGCACACAGGAAACCCCCAAGACAAGCAGATTCCAGGGCAACCAAGATCCAGAAAACACTATCAACAAGGGGTGACTATTCTCTTTTCAAAAAGGACTATTCAACCACAAAAGTAAGGCAAAGTCAACCCTTCCAGGACCCCTGCAAGACACCCTGATGTGCATGAGAAAGCGCAGATGTGGCGGGCCAAGACCACACCCGTGTGAGAAGCAAAGCCGGAGGCTCAGCGCTGACCGGCCCACGGCCGCGTGGCATGCCAGCCCACAGGAGCTGTGTGGCCGAGAGGCCACACCTCAAGGCGATGGCTCAGCCCCTGGGGCAGAGAGACCCCACAGGCCACTCCCTGCGGGAATCCAGGTGCGCAGGCACTGCCCGGGGCTCCTGGGTCCCAACACTCGGGCCAGACCGAGGAGTTTACACACACATATTCTAAAGTCCCAGGATGACACAGTGCCGCAGGACACAGGGTCTGCGATTGGCGTGAGATCATGTGAAATCCAGAAAGGAAACCAATCTCCCAGATTCCGTGGCTACTGCACGTACAATCGGTGTTTTCCTGCACGTAGGCCTGGCGTAGGCCCGGCGGGGTGGGGGCTCTGGCGCTCGTGGCCCGCTCCCTCCTTGCGGCTCCGAGGCTCAGCCAGGTGGGCGAGCCTGGCCGCAGGTGGGCGAGAGTGCCAGATTCTCCCTTCCCGGAACATCTGTCCACAACCCTCCTCCTCCGGCAGTGGCTGCTCAGGGCCACCTCCCCGCGGGCACACGGAGGGCCCGGCGGCCAGGCTGCGGTCAGAGGCACGGAGCTCAGGAACCAGGCTTGTGCGAGCAGCTGGGGGCCAGGCGCAGACCACTGGCCGCCTGTGCCGGGCTTCCCCAGGTGAGCCTCGCCCTAAAAGCACGCGGACACTTGCGGGGAAGTGTGCCCCGACGCGCCTGGGAGGTGGCAGCGACTGAGCAACCGTCTCCCGCTGTCTCCACCTCGCCCATCTCTGAGCTTCAGTGCCGTGAACCGTGAGCCTGTTCCAGCCTGGCCAGGTGTTGGCGGCCGGTAGGGGTCCTACTCGATATGGGTTTAAGCCCTGACCTTGCCCCCAGGCATCTGTGTCATTTCTGTCTAACCCAACTATGCTCTGTGCGGCTCCCTCTGCCCACCTGTGTCTGCCCCCGCACCTGTCTACGGTACCAGGTGTGGCCCTGTCCGCACCGCACCGTCCACGGGGGTGGGGGGGACCCCAAACCCACCAGAACGCGTCAGCCCCCACCCTCGACTGCCCAAAACTCCGTGGTCTTGCTCCTCGTGCTGAAGTTTTCTCTTCCTCTCACTGGAAGATAAGGCAGTGGCAACCTCCGATCACCGCCCAGCGCGCAGACACCCAGACGCGAGCAGACTGCGCGGCTGCCCCGCGACACGGCGCGGCTCCTCCCACCTGCTGCTGGGACAGACCCTCAGGCATGGGCGTCAGCACGGCGTCCGGGTGCCTGCAGTCCACCTCGATGAACAGGTTCTGCTCCTCCTCCAGACAGGACCTGTGGTCTTAAGAAAAAGTCAAAATTCACGAGTTTTACATCAAAATAATACATCCCTGACAAAATCACCACAGTGCAAAAGGCTCTCAAGCAAAGGCTCTGCGCGGGCGTCTCCACTTTCCAGGCTTTCTCCCACCAGCTATTAGCGCCTCGGAACTGTGACAAACCAACAAAACAGCCGTCCTGCACGGGTGAGAGAGCGTTGGTGGGTATTTGAAATCTTCAGCATTTGAAGTTTAATTTTGAAAGGCAGAGGTGTCGTTTGAACAGCCAGGCAGCAAAGCGGCAATATTTTAGAATTCTAATATTTTAGAAGCTAAATATCTTAATCTTTTAATCTGTACACCCTCACAATCAGAGACAAAGCGTGGCCGCTAAGAATGTCTGGGAACAAAGGCTTGGGTGGGTCTCCGTACCTCTCCTGACTTTCCGTCTGATCCTCTCTCTCTCTGTAAGTCTGAAAATGTGCAACTTTCCCCGAACCGTTTAAGCCAGAACTAAAACCTGGATACAACTAACTGCCTTAAAGAATCCACAAAGTGGGTCACAGAAACCTGAGTGTGTCTCATTCAAAGATGAGACAAGAACACGCCACAGGCAGGGCTGCGACAGGCGGGGCCCCGCAGAGCCGGCGGCCCGCGCAGCCCAGCGGGCACGGACCTTGCGAGACGAGAGACTTGGTCCTGATGAAGGAGCGGCCCCTCTTCACGGCCGCCTTGGTCTTCTCCAGCCCGTCCTTGGTGCCCTCCCTGGCTGCCCTCATGAGCTTCTGCATCTGCTCGGAGAGAGAGGCGCACGTGAGAAGCGGTCGGGCCGCAAAACCCCACTTCTAGTTGATTTGTTTTAAAAGAAGACTGTCAAGTAGAGTTCGGGCTTGCAACGTTACCTGAAATCGGCTTTTAGGTTTGGGAGGGTTCTCTTGGTTACTGTGTGAGTGTGTGGTTTGGGGCCACTTTTTGTTTGTTTGGTTTTGTTTGTTGAAAAAAGGAAAAAACAGACTTTAAAAATACGGTGCTTCCTTGACATGGCTAGAAAGTTTCCTGCTACATTTAGAAGCCAATCTCCGCATTTACCGCAATCACTCGCAAATGCAAAGAGCGCTGTGGAGGTCACAGGTGCTACGCTAACGCCCACAAATGTCAAACAACCTGCCCGAAATCCAGCGGCAAAACAGAGAACTGCAGACTCTCATCGCTCCAGTTCAGCCTTTAACACCTACCACCAGGCCCTACCTGCCCGTGTCAGCTGGAGCCCTGCAGCCATTATGGGGTCGCGAGGACCCAGAGCCAGCCACGGCCAGAGGGGAGGCCCCGAGACAAGGACCTGCGACCACCGCCCTGCAGAGACCTCAGGGGTGAAAAAACGCCATGTCCCACGTGGCCGGGAGCTTGCGGGCTCTGGTTTCCTCACTGTCAGATCTGACTGACCCTCACGAGCATCCGGGCACTCCTGGCACATCTGCGCACTTTAGTTCTAATCTTTTTCTTTTTCTTTTTAGAGATGGGGTCCCTCTACGCTGCCCAGGCTGGACTCGAACTCCTGGGCTCGAGCGACCTCCCGCCTCGGCCTCCCCGGTGGCTGGGAGGCAGCCACGCTGCCTGGCTGTGGCGTTTCGTGTCTTACTCTTTCACAACCTCTCATCTGAGTGTCAGCCACCAGACACTGCGTGACCGTCTTCAGAGAAAACCCGCATGACAGGAGGCAGATCGACGTCCTTTCTCACCGACCTCCAAGGAGCCTGCTGGGCTCCGCACGGCGGCCTATGGCCCTCTGCCGAGGCCTGGCAGGGGTGCCCGGCTGACAGCAGCAGGCACAGCGCTGGCCCTGGCACACGCTACAGGCTCCGCCACCTGCTAAGGGCGACCCGGCCACCACTCAACGTGACCGAGACACACCACTCTGCCGGCTGAGCCAGCGCCCCGACTACGAGGCCACCATTGCGCAAGCGTTCTCCTCCCAACCACGTCAGAGACACCAAAGGCACAAGGGCCCCACCCCCGCCCCGCAGCCCACAAGGGGCCGCGTCCTGCCGCCCACCCTGCCGGACCACGCCAGGCCTGGTCTCTGGCCCGCCGTGGACGCCGCCCGCACGCCTGCCCGGCGCCGCCCGCTCATTTCAGTGCAAAGCACCTCGAGGGAGTCCGTTCCTTCCCGACCCGCCTCTCCTCCCGCCAGACCCGGCCTGCCAGCCACGTCCCCGGCCTGGTCCCCTCTGACTGAATGGAGGAAGGACGCCGGCCCAGCCCGTGCCTGCAGGCGATTCCAAACGGACCCAACGCCACCGTCCACCGCCCTGCGCCAGCCCCTCCACGCCGCACCAGGCTCGTCCCTGGAACCCCCAGGCTGCCGCCACCCCGCCACGCAAGGCCCCACGTCACAGGCCCCATGGGTACACCAGCCACGGAAGTGCCGTGACTCCCAGGCGCCACGGCCTCAGGGCCCGAGCACAGCACACCGCGGAATAGCACGGAATAGCACGAAATAACACGGAATAGCACATTCGGAGCAGACGTCTGTTCTCGGTGAAGTGTCATGCAGCGCCCACGAACGGTTCATGAAATACCAAAGGGATAAAGACCGAATTGAGGTGGCATTACTTGACAGTGCCCTTTTAAAACACGTCTCGGAGAAGTGACCATGGTAACATCCACATCCAGCAGTTCTCAAACTCAGGTCTCAGGAGCACCTCACACTCTCAAAAGTCCCTGAGAACCCCAAGTGGCCTTGGTTTTTTGGGGTTTCATTTGTCTGTATTTACAACAGACGCTAAAACTGAGGAAAGAATTATTTTTGTAGCTATTCATTTAAAAAAATAAATCTATTATATGTTATCTTAAATAACATACGCATGAGAAATTAGTGCGTTTCCCAAAACGGGGGAAGTGGGGTGGTCTCAACTTCTGGGACGCAGCCCGGACCGTGCGCCCGTCGGCCGCAGGGCGTGCCGGCGTGCGAGCACGGGCGGGCCCATCTCACATGCGCGAGAGCCCGCAGGCAGCCCCCAGGCCCACACTCTGAGAACAGCGGCTCCCAGGCCGGCCTCAAGGGAGCCGCCTAGGTTTCCCCTGTCGTAGAGCCAGTGCCCGAAACTCTACCTTCAGCTCCTGCTTCTGCCTCAGCTGCTGGAGCTCCACGGCGCCCACGGCGCTGGCCATCAGCTCCCTCACCTTCCTCTCATAGTGCTCCTTGAGCCGGCTCAGGTCGTGGGACAGCTGCGGCAAGGGAGACAGCGCTTCACTCGCCGCCCTCGCGGCTTCCTCACAGCCCCAGCGCGAGAGGCGGTGGCGGCGCCCAGCTCCCCGGGGCTCCGGGACCCCCCCACCACGCCCGACCGCCAGCCCCGCCACCACCGCCAGGGGACAGACGCGGCAGGGAGCCGCGTGTCCTCATAGGCCAGATGCGGTTCAGACCAGCCGGATCGAGACCCCTCCGTGCCGGACAAGGGCAGATAAACACACAAAATAACATGTGCAAAACCGCTCATTTGTGTTTGGATGGGATCGAAATTATCAAATATATAAAATATACATAACATTCTTTTTTTATGCCAGCACCCAAGCCAAAGATCCATGCATTCAAAAGTGCACTGACGGGCCAGGTGAGGTGGCTCATGCCTGTAATCCCAGCACTCTGGGAGGCCAAGGTGGGAGGATCGCTCAAGGTCAGGAGTTCGAGACCAGCCTGAGCAAGAGCCAGACACCCATCTCTACAAAAAATAGAAACAAATTAATTGGCCAACTAAAAATATATACCAAAAAAAATTAGCCGGGCGTGGTGGCGAATGCCTGTAGTCCCAGCTACTCGGGAGGCTGAGGCAGGAGGATTGCTTGAGCCCAGGAGTTTGAGGTTGCTGTGAGCGAGGCTGACACCACGGCACTCTAGCCCAGGCAACAGAGTGAGACTCTGTCTCAAAGAAAAATTTAAAGTGTGCTGACGGGTGACACCCTGTGACATGGCCAGCATGGGCTCTCTCGGGTCTGCACGCTGACGCAGGAACTGCGCAGAAACCCTTCCTGTGGCCCGCCCCCGTGCCACACGGCTGGGCCCGCCGCCCCTCCGAGGGCCAGTCCCACGTCAAGGATGCTTCAGGTAACTTTTAATAAAAATTGGAGACTGCTTTTGAGATGACTCTTGAGCAACCTACGGTTTTGTTTTGGGAGATTTAAAAATATGACCATTCACCCTGGGAAACCCGGCACCAGTTGGCAGTGCCACCCTGCACAGGCCTGGCCCAGGGCCCTGCCTGCACTTGCCCCGTCCCGCCCCGTTGCCGGGCACTGCTCTGCCGCGTGGAAGGGCGGGAGGCGGAAGGACAGGCAGCGCTCTGGGCTTCTGCGTCACCATCCGGCCAGCAGACCAATCTCGAGATTCCGTGGCTGCTCCCCTGGCACAGAGCGGCTGCCGAGGCGCCAGCACTCAGCGGGTGCTCTCGGAAACACGTGTGCGGGCTGGGGGCAAGGCAGGAGGGGTTTCCTTTACCGACACCGCCAGCCGGCTCACCCGGCTGCTGCACCCGACCTGGCCGTTTGTCCGAGACCCGCCGTGAGGACAGAATGCAAGTGCTCTGACAAGTGCCCGGTGGACACTCCACCTGCTGAAACCAGAGCCCAGCATTCTTTGCAAACCTCAGTTTAAATCGAGGGTTTCTGACTGGGCCGTGTGAGTTAAATATCGTCTTGGCCATGAGGAACTACAAGCACAGCTTCATTTATCGTGCAAATCTCAGCTGTCATAATTCTGGCCACAGTTCCTGGTCAAAGCTTGTCAATAACACTGAGCTGACCACCAGGAACTGGCAGATTCTTCCTGAGTTTCATGGAACAAATGCAGAGAATGTGGGAGATCCAAGCAGCCCATAATAACCTGCGAGCTGCACGGACCGGGCGGCTACATCTAGGAATGCAGTCTCTGGTTACCGGGGTCTGCTGGGGGTCGGGGTGGGGGGGAGAACTGGCCACACCAGTGGGCCGGGGTCAGGCCCAGGAAAGTCTGCGCCAAAGACAGCGTCCGACTGGCCAGCGGGGATGGGGACCGGGCATGGCCTGCATGGGGACCTCACACAGAAAAAGTGCGTGAAGTGCACAGGCGTCACCGTGGATTAGCACAAATTCACCCCTTTACAAACAGCCGGATAAAAACTCCACCAGTAAAACACACACCGCACAGTCAGGCACCTCAACACCCGAAAACCTCGGCAAGGGGGTGCTGGCCCAGCCCCAGAATCCACTCTTTCAAGCTCTGGAGTGTCTCCCTGGACATCAGTCTAATGACTTTTACACAAAAAGAAAAAGGACTAAAAATTCCTTTTAAGAAAGGATCATGGGCCCAGTGCAGCGGCTCACCCCTGTAACCCTGCACTCTGGGAGACCGAAGCGGGAGGATCATCTGAGCTCAGGAATTCCAGACCAGCCTGAGTAAGAGCGAGACCCTGTCTCCACCAAAAAATTAAAAAGAAATTAACTGGTCTACTAAAAATATATAGAAAAACTTAGCCGAGCATGGTGGTATATGCCCGTAGTCCCAGCTACTCGGGAGGCTGAGGCAGGAGGACCGCTTGCGCCCAGGAGGTTGCTGTGAGTGAGGCTGACACCATGGCACTCTGGCCCGGGCAACAGAGTGAGACTCTGTCACAAAATTTAAAAAAGAAAAAGAAAGGATCATGGTGGAGCAGCTTAGAAGCTTCTGTCCTTTAACATCAATCTTAGCGTCCCCTGTGCGTGCTGGCAGCAAAGCGCCGCTGCGCCGCGTCTGCGCCATCCGCCTGGCGCCCGGCAGGGCTGGCACGTCACCGTGCAGAACACACAGCGCACACAGCGCAGAGACAGTTCTTTGCTTTCTCAGAAGCCGCAAGGCAGTGAGCTCACCTGAGGCCTTCTAAGTGCTCTAGCTTATCAGGTGTGATCCCCAAATCTCCACGGTCACACTCGCCACACGAAAGGACACACCCTCCTCCTTCGCCAACGGCCACGCTTCCCCAGACCACACGCCGGCACCCTGACGAGTGCACGTAAGCGCGTCACAGTTGCATGCCACAGGCCCCAGCACACGTCCACGCGGCGCGCGGCCATGGCACACGAGACCGACACGTACTTGCTTTTTGTGGTGGCCGCGCAGGAAGGACCTGGGCATCCCGTTCTTGCCCTCGGAGTCGCTCTGCTCCTCGTAGCTCTCGAACTCGCTCGAGCTCCAGCCGTACTCCAGGGAGCTGTTGCCGCCCTCGTCCCCGTTCTCCACGTCGTCGTAAAGCGTCTCATCTGGATGCAGAAGCCCCAGAGGGAAGTCACGACGCAGGTTTGGAATTCGCTACCCACGCTCTGCGCTCGTCGGTGGTCTGCCCAACCGCCCAGAGCCGGGGGTGGCAGCGGCACAGAGACAATCCCAGGGGAGTGCGGCGCCCCGGCCACACCCGAAAAGGCGCCACAGGGGCCTCCGCCACACGGGCGGAGATTCGCAGGGCCCAGAAAAGCCCTTCCGGTGGTTCCTGACACCGGCTGTGACCGTCTGCCACGGTTGTGCCAATTGATGCATCGGCCAGAGAACTTTCCATGAAAGAAAAAAAAAAAAAATGAAGGGCACAGACAGAGAACTGAGAGGGAGAGAGCGCAGGTAGGCCGCGGCGATGGCCGCCGTGACGGATGACGGGTGGACACGCGGGGGCGGCAGAGACTCCGGTGCAGCACAGCCAGGCTCACATTCAACAAGGGTGAGTTTTCTCCTGTGATAAAAATGCTCTAATGAAGCGCATACATAATCTACTACCGCGGCCGGGCTCGGTGGCTCACAACTGTAATCCCAGCACTCCGGGAGGCCGAGGCGGGCCGATCGCTCAAGGTCAGGAGTTCAAAACCAGCCTGAGCAAGAGTGAGACCCCATCTCTACTAAAAACAGAAAGAAATTAATTGGCCAACTAAAAATATATAGAAAAAATTAGCTGGGCATGGTGGTGCATGCCTGTAGTCCCAGCTACTCGGGAGGCTGAGGCGGAAGGATCTTCTGAGCCCAGGAGTTTGAGGTTGCTGTGAGCTAGGCTGACGCCACGGCACTCACTCTAGCCTGGGCAACAGAGTGAGACTGTCTCAAAAAAAAAGAAAAAAAAAATGTGCTACCGTATCTGAACGGCTTCGATAGCACCAGTGACTTCAGAATCAGTGGAGAACACAGTGTTCACGTCACCGGACACAAAGACAAGGGGAGCTGTGCTTTTCAACACCAAGGGCCAGGTGCATGTCTGCGTTGCGTGCCCCCCGTTCTGCAAACATGAAAAACCGAGCGGTGCTGCCTCTCAGCCTGCCTGGCCCTAACAAGCGAAGACATTCAACCACACGTTTCGCAGGTTGCAGACTCCTTCAAACAGACGCAAAGGCCTCGAATGCCAGAGCTGAGCCCTCAGGGTGCCCTGACTAGAGAGCACAGTGAGAGCTGGGGCAGACGTGTAGTTTCTGTCTTCAGTGCTGTGTTGCTGACAAGGCTTTTAGAGAATGGCAATGACATTCTCCAAACTCTCAGAACATCAGTGTCCCTCTAATTTCTATTCCTCACTCGCACAGGCCCCTCGGGAGGGAGGACAAAGCCCATGGCCCAGCCTGGAGGGATCCTGTCTTCCCGCGGGTAACCACGTTTTCTCTCTTGGTGCTGTCAAGGGTCTCACTGTGCACAGGTTTGTGTTCTGAGGTTTCCCCTGGGTGTGGGCTGATGTAGAAAGAACTAAACCCGCTTTGAATCTGTCCTTCTCAAACCTGAGGATTTTTAATCTTTCTATAACGTTAGAATATTCTCACTCACACTTTCTTCAAATCTGACCTTTCCCGACTCCTGATGTTTTCTCATCTGCACCATTTACAAGATATGTATTGCTGCTTCTCACCTGTTTACTCGTATCTTCCATATCTTAACCCTTCCTGCTTCCCAGGGGTGATGGAAATAACCTCCCTATTTCAAGCATTAAAATATAAACACACACACACACGCATGCACACACACGAATATTCCACTACATACTATGCGTGAGCCACCACCCACCACCCAAACACCAACAGAGCACACAGCTGCCATCAGGGATCACCCACACACCCCGCAGTCATTTCATGTTGGGAGCAAAGGCCGCCACACAGAGCCCTGGCACCCCACTCCTGACGAGGCCTTGGAACCCCACTCCTGACGGGGCCCTGGAACCCCACTGCAGACGGGGCCCTGGAACCCCACTGCAGACGGGGCCCTGGAACCCCACTCCTGCCGGGGCACTGGAACCCCACTCCTGACAGGGCCCTGGAACCCCACTGCAGACGGGGCCCTGGAACCCCACTCCTGACAGGGCCCTGGAACCCCACTGCAGACGGGGCCCTGGAACCCCACTCCTGACGGGCCGCACCTGGCTCGGAGTCGGAGTTCTCCCTCGGGACGTCGTCGTAGATGGCCTCCTCGGGGTCTGCCACAGAAAGGGGGACCTCAAACCCTGAGTTGCACAGACGGGGTGCAGCTGCCAGACGGGGTGCAGCTGCAGCCAGATGCACCAGGGTCCCCGCCACCCATGACCGTGCAAGGAGCTTCCCAGCGCAGCCAGCGGCACACCAGCCAAGCAGCCGTTGTGGGGCAGAACGTCTTGTTGGGGAGGTGGGCGTCGCTCTGCATGGGCCAGTGTGAAATGTCAGTGGTAGGGAGTCCTGCGGTTGTGTTCAATGACACGTTTGCCGGGGACGGAGGGACGACATGGGGACAGTCATGGGCTGCGAGTCAAGTGTGTCTGTCCCTGAATCCACAACTGTTGTCCAGAAACAAACCTGGTGTGACGGGGAGCAGGGAAGGAGGGCGGGACAGGCCTCGGTGGGCGTGAGAACGCATGAGAGGCCCCGAAGCTTCTCGAGCTCAGCGTTTCCCAACGCTGGGAACGAACGAGCCCATTTTAAAGCTTCAGATCTGATCTGGGGCGGGAGGAAAGCGAACCCCGTCCCTGCCGCTGCTGGCAGGACTTACTCTCCATCCAGGCTGTGTTGGCCGGATCCGCTGCCCACTGTGCCAGCGTGCTGCCGTCTCTGCCCGCGTGGTCCTCACTGGGGAGACAGACGGGGTCAGAACGTGGAGAATGACCCGACCCTCCATCAGCTTGCTGGATGGCCTCAGTGTGTGTGTATAGATATGTGTGTGAATGTATGTGTATGCAAGTATGTGTGTAAACATGTGTGTAAATATATGTATGTAAATATGTGTGTGAATATACATGTGTGTAAGTATATGTGTGTAAATGTATGTGTAAATATATGTGTGTAAATATAAATGTGTATGTAAATTTGTGTGTAAATGTGTGTGTAAATATATATCTATGTGCATGTGTGTAGATATAAATGTATGTAAAAATGTGTGTGTAAATATATGTGTGTGCATGTAAATATATGTGTATAAATATAAATGTATATAAATATGTGTGTGTATATGTGTGTGTAAATATATATGTGTGCACATATACATGTTTGTAAGCACACATGTGCATGTGCACTAAGCATTTTCCCAGATGGTGTCACTGGACACCCCAAGCTCAAGTCTCCATCTCTGAGTCTCTACGGATGCGCGTTTGAGAATGCCGAGCCTGCGCACAGCACAGCGCCGGGACTGGGGTGCAGCGGAAACACGGTCCCTGCTGCCAGAGGCCTGACTGTCCCTGGTTCTCAGTGGCCTCTCTGGGGGCCTCCTAGGCGGCCCCGCTGCTGGGGTGGGACACCAGGAGGCTCGGCCTCCCCACCGCCAAAGACGGACACAAGGCCACCGTGAAAGACGTGGGTTTGGGGCCGTGGGCAACGGAAGCCATGGGAGCGCTCTACCCAGAAGAATGACGAGTTCAGGGCCATGGGACACATTGAGCGTGGCCCGTGAGAGGCGCAGACGCTCACAGAGGGGACGAGGCGCCAGTCAGGCGGAGAGACGCCGGCGTCCTGCTGGGAGCAGACCGAGCGGCAGCGTGTGAGAGCCGGAGTTGGAAGGCAGGGACGGGAGGAGGGCAGCCCCCCAGACATGCAGGGACACCCCAGAAAACCCACCTGTGGGGAGAGGCGCTAACATCTAGCTGGTTACAAGGCACGGAGCACCACCCCTCCCCCACTGCCACTTGTGCCAAAGTCCTAACCAGCCCCAAACATCGGGACGGCAGGGTGAGGAGGGCAGGAGCAGGCGTCCAGACGCCGACACCACGCACCTCAGGGTCATGAGGCCAGGGCGTGGCCCTGCGCACGGCAGGGGTTTGCCACAGAGAAGAGCCGTGTTCTTGCACTTTTCACATTTAAAATCATATCAAAATAAAAAGTCACCCCCCAAAAAGGTAAGAAAAAAAGACAGAAACCTGGAGCAAATGTGAATGGCATTTTACATTATTCCTGATTGTTTGCATATGTTTCAAACACTTCACACTTCTGAAAGTCATGGGAGGTGATTTTCACACCACATTCAACATTCCTCTTCTTCAAAACCATTTGTCCTTTCCACACACCAATTTTTCATGGTGAGTTTTGAAGTGCTGGGCATAACAGGCCACCGCTAACTTTTTTTTTTTTTTTTTTTTTTTTTTTGAGACAGAGTCTCACTCTGTTGCTGGACTAAAGTGCCGTGGTGTCAGCCTAGCTCACAGCAACCTCAAACTCCTGGGCTCAAGTGATCCTCTTGCTTCAGCCTCCCAAGTAGCTGGGACTACAGGCATGCACCACCATGCCCGGCTAATTTTTCTAATATATTTTTTAGTTGGCCAATTAATTTTATTTCTATTGTCAGTAGGAGCTCATGGGTCCGCTCTTTGCTCAGGCTGGTTTCTAACTTCTGACCTTGAGTGATCCTCCTGCCTCGGCCTCCCAGAGTGCTAGGATTACAGGCATTGGCCACCTCGCCCAGCCTGAGTTTTAATTTTATACAGAAAAAAATAAAACCTCTTGGCTGGATGTGTTTTCTGACACAGTTCTGACTTTGGGCTGGGGGACCCTAGTCAGGGTAGAGCTGCTCCCAGGCACCCCAGGCACCTTCTATAGTCTCACACAGGGACGTCTGGCCTGTCACGGGGCTGGCCTGAATGACCAAAACAGTGTGGAAACCAACAACAGGGCCAAGAGTCACAGTCACACTTGGCCAGTGCAATGTGATGCCTGAAATAAACTCGGTTCTTCTCCTCACTCTGCTGCTGACGTTGAGTGCCCCATGGGACACCGGGGGCGAGGTGCGTGTGAGCCCAACGCCAGGGCCAGGAGCCTCAGGAACCTGGGGAGGAGGCAGGGAGCCGGAGCAGCTGGCCCACAGCCCGGGACAAAGGCGCGAGCTCAGAAGGAGCGTGTGAGGCGGATGGAGTTACCTGTTTGGAGGGTCCTCGGAGCTTAGAGAATTAGACTGCTGGTCTTCTGTGACTTCTGGTGTCTCTGCGAGGAAAGGGCAAAATTGATGCTGTTTTATGACGGATAGAAATGTTTATGAATTTAATTTTTTTCTTGAGAGAGGACCTCACTCTGTGACCCAGGCTGGAGTGTCGTGGTGTGATCACAGCTCACTGCAGCCTCACACTCCTGGGCTCAAGCCGTCCCTCTTGTCTCAGCCTCAAGTAGCTAGGACTACAGGCGTGCACCACCACACCACAGCTAATTTTTCTACTTTTTGTAGAGATGGGGTCTCACTACGTTGCCTAGGCTGGTCTCAAATTCCTGGGCTCGAGAGATCCTTTTGTCTTGGCCTCCTGAAGTCCTGGGACTACAGGTGTGAGCCACCGGGCCCAGCCTAAAGTTGACTGTTTACGCTCAAAATGATTTCATATTTCCATTTCTTATTAACAATAGGCTTATCTTGGCATACAGATTAACTGATAAATTTAGAAATGTTTAGCTTTTAAATAAAATGTATTCAGAACAAGATGCAAGATGATAACATGAGGGCTTGGGAAAGAGCAATGAATAACACCCAGGCACATGGATACACCAGGCCAGAGCTAAGCAGCAACAGAATATTCTTTCCCATCCCTTACGTGTTTGTGGGAAGCCACGTTTGTGATTTATCTGAAGGGCTGTCTGCTGTAACCCCTGAAGATCTCCAAGGGAGAACTCATTAAGCTTGTGACATTTGACAACCAAACTCTTATACCTACACACTCACACACACACCGGCCAGGCCCCAGTGGGGTTCCCTTCCCACCACTGCCTGCGGCTGGCAGGGCAGGTGGTGAGCTTGTGGCAAAGGCCACAGCGCAGGTCCCTGCAGAGGGACACAACAGGACCATCAGAGCCACCCGAGGAGTGTGCGGAGCCAGGAAGAGACCCCTCGGCCTCGAGGGCTGGGCGGGAGCTGAGGAGAGCCCGGACGGCTGCACGCCTGTGCACGGCCCGCCAGGTCCTCCCATGGCTCTGCCGCCGCCCGGGTGCCCAGCTTGGAAGGAGAGCCAAACGCTCAGCGGTGGCCAGGTGTTAGTCGCTACGCTGGACAGCGACCATGAAACGCCTTCTGAATGGCATTTATCTCGTGGCTAACACCGGTTCTTAAGCCCTTGCGCACTGCGGCAGCGGACCCAGAGTCCGGGAAGCGGAGCTCAGCTGCACGGCCTGGAGAGCTCAGCCACGGGCCCGTCCTCCTGGTCACGCCGGGCGCGGCCACATGGCCGGATGCCACGTGGAGACAGACACGTGGAGACAGACAGGAGGGATCTGCTGGACAGCACGACACAAGCCCCACGGGCATCCACACGCTCGGTTTTCTAGGCCACGGAAAACTGCCGCGTCTTCCCAAGGGCCCGCGTCTAGTCAGAGGCAGGGCCGGGATCCGAAAGCAAACTCGCCTGCTCCAAAAACTGCTCTTCCCACCACACTCCGCGGCCTCCAAGAACCACCCAAGTAACCCCTTGAAACACGAAAATGTGCCCCAAAGCTGAAGCAGTGGGACGTGCTGGCTGGCAGCACACTCGCTTTGCAGAGGAGCCAGCCCGGGGCGTCCCAGAGAGCAGCTCGGACCCCGTCCCGGTGCAGGGCGCACGACACCTCGAGGTGGGGAAGGGGCCGAGCTCACGGTCCTCTCTCGCTGCCCGGAGCACCTGAACTGGCCTCGGTCAGCAGGAAAACGCTAAGCCCCGGCTCCCCCGTGCGTCCAGGCTTGCGCTCAAGGCAGCGCCGGAACCTTCTGCCCGGCTGGGAGGTGCGCCCAGGACAGCCCTGCGGGGCCGGGAGGACCTCGGACAAGGCGAGCGGAAGCCGCAGGGCTGTCCCTGAAGGAAGACTGGCGGACTTTGAACCCAGGCTCGAGGCCAGAATCCAGGCTTTTCCCACACCTCAGGACAGAGGTCAGTCCACTCATTTCCCCTTGAAGGATCAGAAGGCAAACACAGGTCACTTGTTCCTCTACCAGGGGACTAACAAGAGTCTTTGTTACAGCAGAGTTTTATGATTGGCTCTAGGTCAACAATACAAAAATAAGGAGTTGTTTTAAAAATCATGCTAGATTATTTTTTAAAATTACCTTAAATGAAGTTTGATCATTTAAAATAACCAAGTAATTTAAAAATAAGCAAATTACTTTAAAAATAAATATGCCTTCCTTAAGCGGGGCGCAAACTCTCCACAACCCACGCACCCTTAACTTCGGAAGGTCCTCACTTCTGACGGCTGCAGCACAGCGCCGCGCCCGCGGTGAGCCCCGCGTCACCGCCAAGCCCAGCAGGAACGAGCGCGGGAAACACGTACCCCGAAAACCCTCTGTGGGTTTCCCAAATTCAAAAATGAAGATTTGCCTTTAAGGAAGGCTTTGCCCTCAGTTGCTAATAACTGGAAAGGAAGGGCCTTCCCACCGGGTGTTCGCACAGCGAGAGCTGCGGTCTCCGTCTCCCGCGCCGCCGCTTTCCGTCAGGGCAACGCCGCACACCGGATTCCCACCGGCCTCCCGGGAAAACCCGAGGCCCGCACGGGGGCTGCTCCTCCTGAGCGGAGGTGGCGGCGGAGGGCCACGACCACACCTGTCAGGGCCGTGTTCTCCGAGGCGGGAGAGGAAGGAAGGCGCTTGTGCGGCCGGCCACCCGCCCCTACTCTGAGCCCTCGGCAGGGAGACCGGACGCTGCCCTCCTCACCCTCTCCGCGCCCTCCTCCCTCCCGCCCTGCCCAGGTCACCCTCGGCGCTCACTGGGCCCGACAGGCCCTCCCCCAGGTCCCCTCGGCCGGAATGGAGACAGCTGGACAGACCCTGACCGCCAAGAGCCCGAATCTGCGATCGCGGATGACGCTAGAACCGGCGAGAACGTGACCAGTCTAGCAAGTGACAAGGGCCAGAAAGCACAGGAGGCGCGGTGCGCGTGCGGTGGGGCAGGATTTCCCACGTCGGTCCTCCCTGACACAAGGGCCACCGCATAGGGGACCAGACCTTATTTCAAGGTTCTCCAAACAACACACTCTGACTCCCTTCTGTAACTATGTTCCTGCCATAGAAGAAATTGAATGTGGGGCTCACTTTCCAACTTTGCAAACCAACCCCTGAAGCTGGGGGGAGGGGCCAGCCGACGCCCTGAGAGCAGGCGCCACTGCGGCGCGGGGGAGGGGCGCGGTACCTTCCTCGTCTAGCGACACTGCGCGCACGGTGACCGGGCTGGAGTAGGCGGGCAGGAGCAGGGGCAGGCTCGAGGGGACGGCGTAGCCGCAGGGCACGGGCACCGCGTACCCGCTGGGCACCACCAGACCCGCACCCTCCTCCTCCACGCTGCCGTCTGGGTTTGGCGGGGGATCTTCTTGGAACGGCGAGATGTCGATAACGGAATACGGGTTCACTTTCACCGGGACCATGAGTTGAACAGGTTCTGCTGCAGCGATGCTGTCCCCTGTGGTTCCGTCTTCCCCTCCTGGAGGATGCAAAAGGGACTCGTTGGCAAACGACCTCCAGGGGCCTGGGGAAACCCCACCTGGGCGTGGGGAAACCCCACCTGGGCGCGGGGACACACCCTCCTGGGCGAGGGGACACCCCACCTGGGCGCTGGGACACCCCTCCTGGGCTCGGGGACAGCCCCTCCTGGGCTCGGGGACAGCCCCTCCTGGGCTCGGGGACACACCACCTGGGCACTGGGACACCCCCTCCTGGGCCAGGGGACACCCCTCCTGGGCCTGGGGACAGCCCCTCCTGGGCTCGGGGACACACCTCCTGGGCACTGGGACACCCCCTCCTGGGCGCAGGGACACCCCCTCCTGGGCGAGGGGACACCCCTCCTGGGCGCAGGGACACCCCTCCTGGGCGCGGGGACACCCACCTGGGCGCGGGGACACCCCTCCTGGGCGAGGGGACACCCACCTGGGCGAGGGGACACCCCTCCTGGGCGCTGGGACACCCCTCCTGGGCGAGGGGACACCCCTCCTGGGCACTGGGACACCCCCTCCTGGGCGCGGGGACACACCCTCCTGGGCGAGGGGACACCCCACCTGGGCGCAGGGACACCCCACCTGGGCGCGGGGACACCCCACCTGGGCGCGGGGACACCCCACCTGGGCGCAGGGACACCCCTCCTGGGCGCAGGGACACCCACCTGGGCGCAGGGACACCCTCCTGGGCGAGGGGACACCCCTCCTGGGCGCAGGGACACCCCTCCTGGGCGCAGGGACACCCACCTGGGCGCGGGGACACCCCTCCTGGGCGCAGGGACACCCCTCCTGGGCGAGGGGACACCCCTCCTGGGCACTGGGACACCCACCTGGGCGCGGGGACACCCCTCCTGGGCGAGGGGACACCCACCTGGGCGAGGGGACACCCCTCCTGGGCACTGGGACACCCACCTGGGCGCGGGGACACCCCTCCTGGGCGCGGGGACACCCCTCCTGGGCGCGGGGACACCCCTCCTGGGCGCGGGGACACCCCTCCTGGGCGCGGGGACACCCCACCTGGGCGAGGGGACACCCCCTCCTGGGCACTGGGACACCCACCTGGGCGCGGGGACACCCCTCCTGGGCACTGGGACACCCCTCCTGGGCACTGGGACACCCCACCTGGGCGCAGGGACACCCACCTGGGCGAGGGGACACCCCTCCTGGGCGCAGGGACACCCTCCTGGGCGCGGGGACACACCCTCCTGGGCGCAGGGACACCCACCTGGGCGCAGGGACACCCACCTGGGCGCAGGGACACCCTCCTGGGCGCAGGGACACCCACCTGGGCGCAGGGACACCCTCCTGGGCGCAGGGACACCCACCTGGGCGCGGGGACACCCCTCCTGGGCGCAGGGACACCCCTCCTGGGCGCAGGGACACCCCTCCTGGGCGCAGGGACACCCCTCCTGGGCGCAGGGACACCCCTCCTGGGCGAGGGGACACCCCCCCTGGGCGCGAGCAAGACGGAGGTGGGGATCCCTCCCTCAGTCCCACGGGAGAGCCCTTGGACACTCCCAGAGCATCACAGGCGGCCTCAGAGCCCCTGGGGGGCGGCACCCCGCCCGGCGGCGCCCCCGACGGCTGGTCCAGGGGGTGTAGGCCGTGAGGGCATCGCTGGCCACCCCAGGGGGCTTAGCGCCGAGAAGAAGACCTGGTGCTGGTCCTCCCGCCGGCCGCGCCGTGGTCCAAGCAGTGTGTCTGGTCGGCGTAAAAGCGCCCAACCACCCGCAGACTTAAGGCCATAAACCCTCCAGTTAATTCACTCCCAAAGGCTTCAAGAGTCCACGTAATACAGTGACACAGCGATGAGGCAACTTTTATCGGAAAACAGCAAAACATTTTCTTTGCAAAATATAAATAGAGACAAGACTAAAAACTTTGGAAAACAGGACGCAGGAAAGAAACGCCACAGACCTCAGAAAAGCCATTTGGGGCACACCGTGGAGACATCGAGAGTCTCCCGCTCCTAGAAACCGTCCTTTCCCTACGGCTCTCAGCCAGGCGGGCGAATAGGAGACGCGGGAGCCGATTGCACTGCGCACAGGCCGCACCAGCCGCCTGGGACTCACCTGGCGGGGAGGCCGCCTCCTCCACAGCCGAGGTCCCTGCGCCAGGCGCGGAGGGGGCCTGTCTGTCGGCTTCTGGGATTTCGTCTCCACTGTCAAAGTCGAACTGTTCCCCCTCGTCCTCCTCATTGTTATTGGGATCGTACTGCACGTCGTTTTCTAGGGTTTAAAAGAGCATAAATCACAGTGTTAACATACATCCTCACGTTCCTGTACAAAGACAAAGGCCAGAAAAAGACGAAGGGGACAGACAGACACAGGCATACAGCATAGATGCCGAGCCCCTCTGTGCGGAAATTAGCTATATTACTGCGAAAATCCGCATCTTAGAATTTTGTGTCACCATTTTTTACTTCCTTTCAGTAGGTCTCACAACTCGCAGCTGGAAAAGAAAACGAAAGAGGGAGGCAGAAAAGAACTTTTCAGGGTTTAAATACATATACCTTGGACTTAGAAATTAAACGGGAAAAAGCAAAGCTTAACGGTGTAGCAAGCCAACGAGGAGGAGGGCCGTCTAACCCAGCGATCCTGCCCCCATGCTGTGATGTCACGCAGGACGTGACGCCGCACTCAGGTTTCCTGTTTTATTTAAGAAAATCTCTATTCTGTGAGCTGCTGAGACCTGCCGGCTGTGGTCCCAGCACCTCTGGAGGACCAGAGCGGCTGCCCCTCCCAGGCCCTCCCCGCTGAGACGACCCTCATGGACTGCTCAGACCCACAAGCAGCTTGCAAAGACATGGGGCAGATTAACACCCTACGAAAAGAGATTAAAGGGATGTTTAAGTTCAGAGACAAAAGCTAAGCATTATTTTCCTGGGGCCTTTCAGACCATCTTTGAGTATAGTATGAAAGCTTGATTCAAGATATGATTTTTCTCTTATTTCAAACAAAGTCTGATTGTTTAATTCTTTTTCTTGTTTAAAAAAAGTCCTTTAGAAAGCAGCAGGCTGCAAACAGCTTCACCAGCAAGAGGCCATTCATCGTCACTTCTTGCTCTGGGTGCCACTGTGGTTCCCAGCTGCTCTGCGGAAGGAGGCACCCCCAGAAACAAGGATGTCCCCCAGGGGCAATGCCAGGCCCTGGCGGGGGCCGCTCTGGGGCCCACCCACTGCCAGGCCGGTGTGGGCGTCAGCTTTTGTCTAAGCTCCCTGTGGAAGCCAACAGGCATTTGGTGACTGAATATTTTGTGAATCAACATTAATATGGCAACAGTACTGCTTTCTTCTCCCCTCACATAATTTGCGTTGGAATTTTGCTATTAATTAGAAAAAGGCTTTAGCTGGTGGTGGGGCTTTAAAAAACACAAAACTGTTGAGTTTTGCATTCTGAATACCCGAGCATTTTCTAGCATGATTAAAAAAAAAAAAATCCCAGATCATCCTCTGCATGGATTTTCTCAGTCCTCCCGGGCCAGCCTGATTCGTTTCTAGACACTTGACAGACGTTAGCTCCGTGAGTCCCCGCACACGCGTGTGGAAGGGGCTGCTCCAGTTCCGTGTCTGCACAGAGGATGGACACGGAGGCCTGGACGCACGGGCCAGCACTCACCTGCTGCCCAGGAAGTTTCTAGAGGAGGCGCAGGTTCCTGATAAAAGGTATGGGCTTAGAATCAAGAATTTTCCCACCCAAACACACAACAATGGGATCGACAGGACGTTATGCAGCCCTTGAAAATGACAGTAACCAAATACTTACAAAATAAAAACTTTGAAGCAGGATATAAAAACATACACTCAAAACAATATATATCCAATGACTGCAATGATGTAGAAAATATAATCACTTAAAAAGTAATGTAATCACTTAAAAATGTAATCAACTAAAACCCAGAAAAGTGATGACCCAGAACACAAGCACCAGGTGCCAGGTGAGAAGTCAGATTAGTTTCTGCCTCTTCTTTCTTTATCTTCAAGGGCATTTTTTAGGGGATAGTTTTACATGATAATGGGGGGATTATAACTAAAATATGACCAAACATCAGAAAAGACCCCAGCTTTCCTTGTCACAAAAGCTAATTAACTAGGAAGTCACGTGTGGCTGCCACGGTGTCACTGAACCATAGCCTTCCACACCGCGGCCGTCTGCCAAGGAAACAGAGCCCGGCTCCCCCTCCCACAAGACTCCGCCGAGCCGGCCTGCAGCGGCCTCCTCAGTGCCACCCAAGCTCCCAGGGTCTTGCCACAGACGCCCCAGGAGACTTTTCTGGTGAAACATTACCAGCAGTGAACTGTGGGATTTCCACTTGCCCACAGCCCTAGTGAGCTTCTGGCCAGGGGAAACCAGGCGCAGACTGGGCGGGGTGGGCGCTGGCCCCAGACCACCGGGCCCCTGGCACCCAGCTGTGGATCCAGGCGCAAGTAGAGAGGCCAGGCCACACCTGCCGGCAGGACAGGAGCACTTGGCAGGTGTGGACAGGCGTGTGGTTTGGTGATACAAGGCTGGCCTCAGGCAAGCTGCCTGTTTTTTTGTTTTGTTTTTTTTTTTAATCCTAAATGTAGCCTCTAAACTAGGAAGTCCTCCATTCTTTAACCATGTCCCCCCTCCGGTTTGAGCATGTTAAGGGGTGCACTAAAGGAATTTGATGGCAACGGCTGGTCACCTCCAGCCCCACCGGCTCCACCTACCCGGAGCATGAGAGGCTCACAGTGGGACACCCAAGTGCAGGGGGACACTGCAGGTGCAGGCAGGGATATGGGAGGTGTGGGGGAGACATCATAGGTACAGGCAGGGAAATCACAGGTGCAGGCAGAGACATGGAGGGTGCAGGCAGGGACATGGCAGGTGCAGGCAGGGATGTGGCGGGCACAGGGGCATGTGGCCCAGGCTCCCAACAGAGCCTCATCTTTCTCCCCAAGAAGCTCTCACCCAGCCCACACCAGTGCCCAGAGTCCTCGGTGAGAGCCTGGACACACCACAACCCACCAGGGACATGGCTCCCGGAAAGATCCGTTACCTTCAGGAGCGGGTGGTTGAGGCGGCTCCCGCTGGTCCATGCCGTGGCCTCTGAAGCCGCCCCCTCAGCTGTCGGGAGAAGGGGTCCTGCAAGGACGAGAGCTTGCTGGGCACGGCTCAGGAGGACGGACGCTCACTCCACGCGCGCAGAGCTCTCGACGAGAACCCTGAAGAAAGGAAAGGGTTAATGGCCATTAACAGCTACAATGATACTTGTGAATCTGCCTTGAAATGCCACTCGGAACAAGACAAAGAGTTCTCAGTGCTGGCTGCGCTTCACCTTGAACTGTGGCCAGTTTATTTTGCAACTTGGAGTCGCTCGTGGGACCCTCCCAGCCCGACTTTGCAGGCTTCGACTCCCTGCTCAATTTCCTACCACATCCTTAGTTAGCGAGAAGCCTACACAGAATCGCTTTCCCTTCTTCCTTCAACTAAAGCTTTTAGCAGTTTCGACTAAAGCCTCGTTCAGGATTAAGAACCGAGTTGACTGTGTAACTACCTTCCTGTGTAGACTCCTTGCTTCCCTGCGCGCTAACGGAAACCCGAGTCTGCGCGTGAGCTGATGCCAGCGGCGTGGTGAGGGCGGGCTCCCTGCACTCGAGGGGCGGCGGCGACCTGTTAACCGACTTCGTTCGACCTGCGCAGACACCGCAGAGCACCGGGCTCCCCACACCCTCGGGTGAGACGCAGACTCTGCGCGGGAACCTCCGGCTGCCCCGGCCCCAGCCCCAGGCCCGGGCCCCCAGGCCGAGGACCAGCACGCGGCACCACGCGGGCAGTGGTGGCCCGTGTGTCACCCGCACCGCAGGCCTCTGGACCCCGCCTGCCGTGACACCCCTGGGCTGCACGCTCAGCCCAGGGGATTCTCACCTAACTCACGGGACTGACCGCTTGTCCTGGCACTTTCAGAACAAAACAAACAGACATTGCTCCCGGCTTCCGATGAGCTGGTAACACTGTTGCCAAGCCTGTCAGCGGCCGGGACGCGGTGGGGTCCTGTCTGCCAACTTCTGGTGCCCACCTCAGGTGCCCTCAGAGGCTCTGTGCCCTCCCCATTTCTCAGCCCTTCCGTCCTCCCACCTGGGCAGCGTCCCCCAGCACCTGGCCTGGCCCACGCACTACTCTGCTCTGGCTGGCTCAGGTCCCAGGTTTTGTGCCATCTCACCGGCAGGCTCACAGGCAGCTCAGCGTGCACTACAGACATGCCCCGACCCTCACATGTGTTAGTCCCCGTCACGACCCCAGAGAGTGGGTCCTGTCACTGTTTGCAAATGAAGAAACTACACGGGGAAGACGTAAGACAATCACCAGGGCTACACCTGAGGGCAGGAGTCTGGCGTCAGAGCTGGGAACACAGACTAGGAATCGGGCTTTTCCACCCAAAGCCGGGAGACCCGGCAAGTTCCGTCATCTCTGCCTGGAACATGTGGACAGTGGCGGCATCTCTTGGGGAGCTGTGGCTGGGAGGACGGTCTCGGCCACGAAAACAGCACCTAGTGCAGCCCAGTGCAGGGACGACCCACCGAGGCCACCACACCCACAGCCACCGTGGCCACCACGGCCACCACGGCCACCATGCCCACGGCCACCGTGGCCACCACGGCCACCACACCCACGGCCACCGTGGCCACCACGGCCACCACGCCCAGGGCTTCTGTGCAACCGACGCACAGAGATACCAACAGAGGGGCAGAGGCCTCATCCTCTCAGAGAAAGCTGTGGCTCAGTTTCCCATTTCAGACGGACATGCTTGGACGAGGACAGTCAATGCTGGATGGTGCTCGAGGAAGGGAGCTCAGGGAGAAGCTGCCGCCCCCTGGGTGCTGACCGTTGGACCCCTCTGGGATGCGGACAGCCCTGACCACACAGCAGAAAATGGCCGTCAGCCGCGGTCGGCAAATCCGCAGCCAGCGCCGGCTGCGCTGGAGAGCTGTGTAGGTTCTAGAAAGGAACAAATGTGTCCTGGCCCACAGCACGCCCCGTGGGGGCACACAGCTGCAGCGCATGGGGAGCCAGGCAGAGGCTGCCCGACCCGCAGAGGCACACGGCAGGCGGGCGCAGGGAGGCTGCCCGAGGGAGCAGACGGGCCCAGGGGATTCTCGCGGCCTTGGAAGATGGAAGGGGACACTTGCCACTGGTCCGTCCTCTCCCATATTCATATTCCCATATGCATATTCGGGGATCCCTGAAGAGTTTAGGTTTATTTCACCTTTGGATGAACACTGCAGGCAGGGAGACTCTGTCGCACATGGCAGTGGGGCTGGAGGCGTGGTGGACACCAGTGGGAGACAGACAGACAGACTGACAGACGTGGGCCGGCTGCATCCCACAGCAGGAGCTGCCTGCAGCCCATCCAGCCCGGTGCGCCAGGATCTCCGGGAGCAGGACAGACGGGGACCGTCAGCAAGTGCCCTGCACTCTGCAGCCTGGAGGGACCCATGACAGGGAGAGGCAGCTGTCCCACACCTGCAGGCTCCCTCCACGGCCCTGCTGCTTCCCTTCCTCAGCATCCGGCGAAACTGAGTTCAAAGGGTTCAATTACTTGCTCAACATCAGTGAGCAGTAGAGCTCAGAGCAGCCAGACGTGTCCCTGGGGTTTCGAGGAAAGCCAAACGTCCCTGCTGCGCTCGCTGTGTGCAGTCCCGACACACACCGGCAGTGGCGTCAGCTGGCAGCAAGGGCCAAAGACAGATATCCTTCCTGTCTGCAGACAGAGCTGGTCGCGCTCCTGCCTGGTATTCGCTCAGGACCACGCCCAAACACGCCAGCACGCCCTACCCGATGGCCACACGGCTTTCCCGTCTTAACAGAATTCTGCTTCTTAGAGCCTCGTTGTTTATTCATTTTCGGCTTTTTTAAACACATTGCATGGATCTCATTGATGCTATTTGTGTCTCTGATTAAAATGCATAAAAATAGAGTCACACTGACTTCTCGGCTTTCCCTATGACAACATGAGGATGAGATACGCGGCAAATGAGCCGAGCTCTACGCCGAGGCCTGCTCCCTTTACGTCGCAGCGGCCGGCGCTCACGCAGCGCCACGGGGCCTTGGACGTGTCGGCTCCACTGAATCAATCTCAACGCCGCAGACCGAGCGCCGGCACTGCGTGGCGAGGACGCCGCGGCCAGGAGATGGGCGTCAGGAAGCTCATGGATGCTGTGGAGTTTTCTCTGTGAAAGTCGGTGCTCGTGCAAAACTGCAGCCCTGAGGAGGAAGCTCGGGCGGACACGAAAGCCATGACTTTGTGACTTTGTTTCTGTTCTTGGCAGAGGCCACGTCTCAGTTGGCAAACACCTGCACCCGCCTCCCCTGCGTCCTTCACCCACCATGGACCCGCTCTGAGATCCAAGCTCAAAGGGTCAGAGGAGTCTGCACCCCTAGAACCTGCAGGCAATGTCGGATCATCCCACTCCCTCAAGGCCAGGGGGCTCTAGAACCCCGTCCTTTCTGTGCCATCGTCCAGGGGCGTCCACCCGGTGACCAGGGGACTCTAGAGCCCCGTCCTTTCTGTGCCATCGTCCAGGGGCGTCCACCCGGTGACCAGGGGACTCTAGAGCCCCGTCCTTTCTGTGCCATCGTCCAGGGCGTCCACCGGCGACCAGGGACTCTAGAGCCCGTCCTTTCTGTGCCATTGTCCAGGGGCGTCCACCCGGCGACCAGGGGGCTCTAGAGACCCGTCCTTTCTGTGCCATTGCCAGGGCGTCCACCCGGCGACCAGGGGCTCTAGAGACCCGTCCTTCTCTACCATAGTCCAGGGGCGTCCACCCGGCGACCAGGGGGCTCTAGAGACCCGTCCTTTCTGTGCCATAGTCCAGGGTGTCCACCCTATGACCAGCGGGCTCTAAGAGCCCGTCCTTTCTGTGCCATTGTCCAGGGCGGTCCAGACCGGCGACCAGGGGGCTCTAGAGCCCCGTCCTTTCTGTGCCATTGTCCAGGGCGTCCACCCGCGCGACCAGGGGGCTCTAGAGCCCTCGCTTTCTGTGCCATAGTCCAGGGGTGTCCACACTGTGACCAGGGACTCTAGAGCCCCGTCCTTTCTGTGCCATCGTCCAGGGGCGTCCACCCGGTGACCAGGGGGCTCTAGAGCCCCGTCCTTTCTGTGCCATCGTCCAGGGGCGTCCACCCGGTGACCAGGGGCTAGAGCCCCGTCATTTCTGTACCATCGTCCAGGGTGTCCACCCGTGACCAGGGTCTAGAGCCCCGTCCTTTCTGTGCCATAGTCCAGGGTGTCCACCTGGTGACCAGGGGGCTCTAGAGACCCGTCCTTTCTGTGCCATGTCAGGGGTCCACCGCGGCGACCAGGCGGCTCTAGAGACCCGTCCTTCTGTGCCATTCGTCCAGGGGCGTCCACCCGGTGACCAGGGGGCTCTAGAGCCCCGTCCTTTCTGTACCATCGTCCAGGGGCATCCACCCTGTGACCAGGGGCTCTAGAGCCCCGTCCTTCTGTACCATCGTCCAGGGGCTCACCCTGTGACCAGGGGACTCTAGAGCCCCGTCCTTTCTGTGCCATTGTCCAGGGGCGTCCACCCGGTGACCAGGGCTCTAGAGCCCCGTCCTTTCTGTGCCATAGTCCAGGGGTGCCACGCTGTGACCAGCGGCTCTTAGAGCCCCGTCCTTTCTGTACATCATCCAGGTGTCCACCCGGTGACCAGGGGGCTCTAGAGCCATCCTTTCTGTGCCATAGTCCAGGGGTGTCCACCCTGTGACCAGGGACTCTAGAGCCCCGTCCTTTCTGTGCCATAGTCCAGGGTGTCCACGCTGTGACCAGCGGGCTCTAGAGCCCGTCCTTTCTGTGCCATTGTCCAGGGGCGTCCACCCGGTGACCAGGGGGCTCTAGAGCCCCGTCCTTTCTGTGCCATAGTCCAGGGTGTCCACGCTGTGGACCAGCAGGCTCTAGAGCCCCGTCCTTTCTGTAACATCATCCAGGGGTGTCCACCCGGTGACAGGGGCTCTAGAACCCCATCCTTTCTGTGCCATAGTCCAGGGTGTCCACGCTGTGACCAGCGGGCTCTAGGGCCCCGTCCTTTCTGTAACATCATCCAGGGGTGTCCACCCGGTGACCAGGGGCTCTAGAGCCCCATCCTTTCTGTGCCATTAGTCCAGGGGTGTCCACCCTGGACCAGGGGACTCTAGAGCCCCGTCCTTTCTGTGCCATAGTCCAAGG